AGTAACTTTCTGCCTTTATCGTCCCGGGGAAGTAGCTCTCTGCCTTTATCGTCCCGGGGAAGTAGCTGTCTGCCTTTATCGTCCCGGGGAAGTAGCTGTCTGCCTTTATCGTCCCGGGGAAGTAGCTCTCTGCCTTTATCGTCCCGGGGAAGAAGCTCTCTGCCTTTATCGTCCCGGGGAAGTAGCTCTCTGCCTTTATCGTCCTGGGGAAGTAGCTCTCTGCCTTTATCGTCCCGGGGAAGTAACTCTCTGCCTTTATCGTCCTGGGGAAGTAACTCTCTGCCTTTATCGTCCCGGGGAAGTAGCTCTCTGCCTTTATCGTCCCGGGGAAGTAGCTCTGTGCCTTTATCGTTCCGGGGAAGTAGCTCTCTGCCTTTATCGTCCCGGGGAAGTAGCTCTCTGCCTTTATCGTCCCGGGGAAGTAACTCTCTGCCTTTATTGTCCCGGGGAAGTAACTCTCTGCCTTTATTGTCCCGGGGAAGTAACTCTCTGCCTTTATTGTCCCGGGGAAGTAACTCTCTGCCTTTATTGTCCTGGGGAAGTAGCTCTCTGCCTTTATCGTCCCGGCGAAGTAGCTCTCTGCCTGTATCGTCCCGGGGAAGTAGCTCTCTGTCTTTTTCGTCTCGGGGAAGTAGCTCTCTGCCTTTATCGTCCCGGGGAAGTAACTCTCTGCCTTTATCGTCCCGGGGAAGTAACTCTCTGCCTTTATCGTCCCAGGGAAGTAACTCTCTGCCTTTATTGTCCTGGGGAAGTAACTCTCTACCTTTATTGTCCCGGGGAAGTAACTCTCTGCCTTTATCGTCCCGGGGAAGTAGCTCTCTGCCTTTATCGTTCCGGGGAAGTAGCTCTCTGCCTTTATCGTCCCGGGGAAGTAGCTCTCTGCCTTTATCGTCCCAGGGAAGTACCTTTCTGCCTTTATCGTCCCGGGGAAGTAGCTCTCTGCCTTTATTGTCCCGGGGAAGTAGCTCTCTGCTTTTATCGTTCCGGGGAAGTAGCTCTCTGCCTTTATCATCCCGGGGAATTAGCTGTCTGCCTTTATCGTTCCAAGGAATTAGCTCTCTGCCTTTATCGTCCCGGGGAAGTAGCTCTCTGCCTTTATCGTCCCGGGGAAGTAGCTTTCTGCCTTTATCGTCCCGGGGAAGTAACTCTCTGCCTTTATTGTCCCGGGGAAGTAACTTTCTGCCTTTATCGTCCCGGGGAAGTAACTCTCTGCCTTTATCGTCCCGGGGAAGTAGCTCTCTGCCTTTATCGTCCCGGGGAAGTAGTTCTCTGCCTTTATCGTCCCGGGGAAGTAACTTTCTGCCTTTATCGTCCCGGGGAAGTAGCTGTCTGCCTTTATCGTCCCGGGGAAGTAGCTCTCTGCCTTTATCGTCCCGGGGAAGTAGCTCTCTGCCTTTATCGTCCCGGGGAAGTAGCTCTCTGCCTTTATCGTCCCGGGGAAGTAGCTCTCTGCCTTTATCGTCCCGGGGAAGTAACTCTCTGCCTTTATCGTCCTGGGGAAGTAACTCTCTGCCTTTATCGTCCCGGGGAAGTAGCTCTCTGCCTTTATCGTCCCGGGGAAGTAGCTCTCTGCCTTTATCGTCCCGGGGAAGTAGCTCTCTGCCTTTATCGTTCCGGGGAAGTAGCTCTCTGCCTTTATCGTCCCGGGGAAGTAGCTCTCTGCCTTTATCGTCCCAGGGATGTAACTCTCTGCCTTTATCGTCCCGGGGAAGTAGCTCTCTGCCTTTATCGTAATGGGGAAGTAGCTCTCTGCCTTTATCGTCCCGGGGAAGTAACTCTCTGCCTTTATCGTCCCGAGGAAGTAGCTCTCTGCCTTTATTGTACCGGGGAAGTAGCTCTGTGCCTTTATCGTCCCAGGGAAGTAGCTCTCTGCCTTTATCGTCCCGGGGAAGTAGCTCTCTGCCTTTATCGTCCCGGGGAAGTAACTCTCTGCCTTTATCGTCCCGGGGAAGTAGCTCTGTGCCTTTATCGTTCCGGGGAAGTAGCTCTCTGCCTTTATCGTCCCGGGGAAGTAGCTCTCTGCCTTTATCGTCCCGGGGAAGTAGCTCTCTGCCTTTATCGTCCCGGGGAAGTAGCTCTCTGCCTGTATCGTCCCGGGGAAGTGGCTCTCTGCCTTTATCGTCCCGGGGAAGTAGCTCTCTGCCTTTATCGTCCCGGGGAAGTAGCTCTCTGCCTTTATCGTCCCAGGGAAGTAACTTTCTGCCTTTATCGTCCCGGGGAAGTAGCTCTCTGCCTTTATTGTCCCGGGGAAGTAGCTCTCTGCTTTTATCGTTCCGGGGAAGTAGCTCTCTGCCTTTATCATCCCGGGGAATTAGCTGTCTGCCTTTATCGTTCCAAGGAATTAGCTCTCTGCCTTTATCGTCCCGGGGAAGTAGCTCTCTGCCTTTATCGTCCCGGGGAAGTAGCTTTCTGCCTTTATCGTCCCGGGGAAGTAACTCTCTGCCTTTATTGTCCCGGGGAAGTAACTTTCTGCCTTTATCGTCCCGGGGAAGTAACTCTCTGCCTTTATCGTCCCGGGGAAGTAGCTCTCTGCCTTTATCGTCCCGGGGAAGTAGTTCTCTGCCTTTATCGTCCCGGGGAAGTAACTTTCTGCCTTTATCGTCCCGGGGAAGTAGCTGTCTGCCTTTATCGCCCGGGGAAGTAGCTCTCTGCCTTTATCGTCCCGGGGAAGTAGCTCTCTGCCTTTATCGTCCCGGGGAAGTAGCTCTCTGCCTTTATCGTCCCGGGGAAGTAGCTCTCTGCCTTTATCGTCCCGGGGAAGTAACTCTCTGCCTTTATCGTCCTGGGGAAGTAACTCTCTGCCTTTATCGTCCCGGGGAAGTAGCTCTCTGCCTTTATCGTCCCGGGGAAGTAGCTCTCTGCCTTTATCGTCCCGGGGAAGTAGCTCTCTGCCTTTATCGTTCCGGGGAAGTAGCTCTCTGCCTTTATCGTCCCGGGGAAGTAGCTCTCTGCCTTTATCGTCCCAGGGATGTAACTCTCTGCCTTTATCGTCCCGGGGAAGTAGCTCTCTGCCTTTATCGTAATGGGGAAGTAGCTCTCTGCCTTTATCGTCCCGGGGAAGTAACTCTCTGCCTTTATCGTCCCGAGGAAGTAGCTCTCTGCCTTTATTGTACCGGGGAAGTAGCTCTGTGCCTTTATCGTCCCAGGGAAGTAGCTCTCTGCCTTTATCGTCCCGGGGAAGTAGCTCTCTGCCTTTATCGTCCCGGGGAAGTAACTCTCTGCCTTTATCGTCCCGGGGAAGTAGCTCTGTGCCTTTATCGTTCCGGGGAAGTAGCTCTCTGCCTTTATCGTCCCGGGGAAGTAGCTCTCTGCCTTTATCGTCCCGGGGAAGTAGCTCTCTGCCTTTATCGTCCCGGGGAAGTAACTCTCTACCTTTATTGTCCCGGGGAAGTAGCTCTCTGCCTTTATCGTCCTGGGGAAGTAGCTCTCTGCCTTTATTGTCCCGGGGAAGTAACTCTCTGCCTTTATTGTCCCGGGGAAGTAACTCTCTGCCTTTATTGTCCTGGGGAAGTAGCTCTCTGCCTTTATCGTCCCGGGGAAGTAGCTCTCTGCCTGTATTGTCCCGGGGAAGTAGCTCTCTGCCTTTTTCGTCTCGGGGAAGTAGCTCTCTGCCTTTATCGTCCCGGGGAAGTAACTCTCTGCCTTTATCGTCCCAGGGAAGTAACTCTCTGCCTTTATTGTCCCGGGGAAGTAACTCTCTGCCTTTATTGTCCTGGGGAAGTAGCTCTCTGCCTTTATCGTCCCGGGGAAGTAGCTCTCTGCCTTTATCGTCCCGGGGAAGTAGCTCTCTGCCTTTATCGTCTCGGGGAAGTAGCTCTCTGCCTTTATCGTCCCAGGGAAGTAACTCTCGGCCTTTATTGTCCAGGGGAAGTAACTCTCTGCCTTTATTGTCCCGGGGAAGTAACTCTCTGCCTTTATCGTCCCAGGGAAGTAACTCTCTGCCTTTATTGTCCCGGGGAAGTAACTCTCTGCCTTTATTGTCCCGGGGAAGTAACTCTCTACCTTTATTGTCCCGTGGAAGTAACTCTCTGCCTTTATTGTCCCGGGGAAGTAACGCTCTGCCTTTATTGTCCCGGGGAAGTAACTCTCTGCCTTTATTGTCCCGGGGAAGTAACTCTCTGCCTTTATGGTCCCGGGGAAGTAGCTCTCTGCCTTTATCGTCCCGGGGAAGTAGCTCTCTGCCTGTATCGTCCCGGGGAAGTGGCTCTCTGCCTTTATCGTCCCGGGGAAGTAACTCTCTGCCTTTATCGTCCTGGGGAAGTAACTCTCTACCTTTATCGTCCCGGGGAAGTAACTCTCTGCCTTTATCGTCCCGGGGAAGTAGCTCTCTGCCTTTATCGTCCCGGGGAAGTAACTCTCTGCCTTTATCGTCCCGGGGAAGTAGCTCTCTGCCTTTATCGTCCCAGGGAAGTAACTCTCTGCCTTTATTGTCCCGGGGAAGTAACTCTCTACCTTTATTGAAGTAACTCTCTACCTTTATTGTCCCGGGGAAGTAGCTCTCTGCCTTAATCATCCCGGGGCAGTAGCTCTCTGCCTTTATCGTCCCCGGGAAGTAGCTCTCTGCCTTTATCGTCCCGGAGAAGTAACTCTCTACCTTTATCGTCCCGGGGAAGTAGCTCTCTGGGTGATAAAGGTTGAAGACACGTGCTTTAGTTTATATATCACACACTGTCCTTTTTCTCCCTCTTCCACATCACTGGGGTTTTCTCTCTATCTTTCCAGCCCAGAGGGATCCACATCTACATCGTTATGACGTCTGCTACTAATTAACAGACTTTTGTGGAGATTTCAGTCGTCCGTGTCCCGCTCAGAGAGACTGGGCTGATGAACATGTGTTAATTACCAATAATTGCTGCAGCTGTCTCCTGGAGGCGGCCGTCACACTCTCCACGTCCCAATCATCCACCGCGGCCGTTCACAGACGTCAACAAGTGTCGCACAGGGACCGGGAACCAGTCGTTGGGACGCGTCACTGTGGACAGGATCCAATCTGAGCTGTATCAGGGATGGTTGATCGCTTTGCTTTGGCTCGGAGAGAAGAAGAAGACTCTGTGGTGCTGCTGGTTTGTTTTCTGTCCTTTGGGAATCAGCAAAGTCAATCTGAAAGAAATCAATGGTTTTAAATGACACAACACACAGAGAGTTATTGCTGAAGAGACAGAGGGTTGAGGGCAATGGGGAGAAATTAACTGAAAAAATGTCTTTCTCCTCAACTAAAAATGAAAACACACAGTCACTTTATACAAAACGAATCAGACTTGACTTAGAATAAAGCGAAAAATAGACTTTTGAATGGAAATATTGAATAACATTGATACCACACTGCTGCAAATGATAAAATATGAGGTCCTAAATTGCTTGAAACTAGGGTTTTTTAACCTAATCTGACACATTCTGACTGTGGTAAAATAAGATTCTCCAATGGGACAAAGTCATTTAGTGTCATGGTGTGGACTTTTTGGATTATTTTGATTAGTTTGAATAGTTTGCTTCCTGTCCGTGCTGTTGATTATTAGCCCCGCCCTGATGCGACCCACCGGTGTCTCCTGTGTATATTTATACCCTGTGCTTTGCCCCACTTGTTGTCCGTTGGGCCTCATTTATGAAACTTGCGTACGGTCAAATCATGGTGTAAATGAGGCGTACGCAGAAAATGTACACTTTTTGGCATTTATCAATCTGGAAGTGAGTGTACGGTACGCACAAAATCTACGCCGACTCTGGAGGTGGTGTACATTTTATACCCATGTCTCAACTGTTGGACATGATTTAGCGTATATTTCTTCAAACGTGAATAAACTCACCTCTTTATTTTTTTTCCCACTTTGTTCATAATGGTCTCAACCTTCTTCTCCGTGAAGTTTTTTTCCTTTGCCGTTTCCTCTTAATTGTCGTAAAAACGGGGTGTGAAACTGCATATTTCTAGGCGTGACTTTCATAAATACGGTCGTTTTCAGCCGCGGCATTCACCAACAGCCGCTGTGCGTACGCTCAGTTCTGGACGGATCTCACACGTTCATAAATCCGGCGTTGGCTCGTGCGTATTTGGAATATACACCCAAAATATACACCCTTTTCTGCACAAGTTTCATAAATGAGGCCCTTTGTCTCGACCGTGTTTGTCCCTGTCTAGATTTTCAGGTCAGGATTTTTGTGCTTTTTGTCACTCTGGATTTGGACCTGCATTTTGGGTTCCCTTTTTTTTCGTTACCCCACGTGACAGTTAGTCTTATTTCAAGAACTTTTGCTTTTTTTTCTCATTCCAAGTGAAACATTACTTGTATCTTTTAAAAACAAGATCATTTTACTCATCGTCCCATCCTCTAAATACTCTGACTCATCTCCCCATGATGCTGTTTGCCAAAAGCAGAATTAATAACTCTTTTTCCTCCATGAAGTATTCTCTCTTCCTGAATTCTGAATCTCTGTAATTCTTTTGTGAGTGTGTAATAAAAACCTGGTCTTGTTGCCATCTTTCCAACACATCGGCGGATGTCACATGGCCTCATTATCTGCACTGACGCTGATCCTGCATATCTCTCAGACAGAAACATGTCTAACATTTTATATGTAAATTCACTTTTACAAAAGCTGGAGCCTGAAGAGAATAAATCTGTTATTGCCTTTTGACGTTGAGATTGTAATGTTCTTTCTTCTCATTTCTCCGTTCATTCTCTTGCTAATGCTAATCAGTCATCCTGCAATTACAGCTAGTTAAGAAACATAGCTACTACTTATTTTGTATATTTTTGTGCTCCCTGTGTGCTCTCGCTACTGTCCTGTCTGTGCGCAACCATAGACTGTCTATTAACGCCTATCTCCGCCGTTCGAACTAATGGGCCAAAAATTGGGCTTTCATGGAGTGATTCAAAATGGCCGCGGGGGCTGAAAATTTTGAAAAAACGCATCTGCGCATGCGTCAGCTGCACCAGCCCCATACATTTAAACGAGTGACTTCAAAAATTCACAGCGACTAAACTAGACTGGTTCAAAGAAATTCACCCCCCTCAGCACTGACACACAAAGCGACTTTTGGACCATCCTGTAAAGACGTTTTCAAGAGGTAAGAAGATGCTATATGTTAGCATTGACTAATTCTTATTCCAGGTAAGTAAGTAAGTAAGTAAACTTTATTTATATAGCGCCCTTCACAGACCAGGGTCACAAGGCGCTTCACATAGTATAAAAACAGACATATAAATTAGACATACACATTTTTAAAGGCCAAGACAACCATGTAAAAGAATACAGCAAGACAAACTTACGCAAAAGCCTGAACAAATAAATGGGTTTTAAGTTGACTTTTGAAGCACTCGACAGACTCTACAGAACGCAGAGAGGGTCCACCCCCACAGGCCCAGGGTGGTATTGCAGCATGTCAGCGCACATCATTTTGGCCACTTTTGAGCCGGGACCCTCCCCCACTGGCTGAAACATTAAAATTTCCCCTCTGTGGGACGAATTAAGGATCTCTTATCTTATCCTTTTTGGTAGAAATGCAGCCCCAAACCATCATGTTTCCACCCCCATGCTTCACAGTGGGTATGTTGTTGGGATGCAGCACCGAAGCCAGATCATGTCCAGACCACACTAAAGTTTTCCACTAACCATGTGTAGGATCCAGAAGAGGCCTGGGAGAATATCACAAGGACAGATGAGAACAAAATTTAAGTTTTTTCAGTCAAAACTTTCTCGTCTTTGGAGGGGGAAGAAAACAGATTTGCATCCCAAGGAGAGCAGATCCATTCCCAGCAGCATAATTAAAGAGTTTTGGGATTTCTAAACAGACTTTTAGAATTTTTAGTGAATTAAATGGACAAATGGACTCTGATGGATCGCCGGTGATTCTGGTCCTACACAGACTGGAAGGAGCTGGTGGAGAAAACCAAAAGACATTAACTTACCTGCAGCTTGTCGCGGTTAGCAGTGTTGTGAGGAGAAAACACACGCTTTTAGCCTCGATAAATCACACTCAAGACAAAGTTTAGGAATGGGATTAACCAGTGTAGGGAGTAAGGTGTGTTATCACAGACTTTAGAATGACCCGAGGCAAACAAGTGTCTTCCTGTGATATATTAAAGAAGCTATACCCAATTTCTTTTTAATTAGCTCATAAAAAGGCTTATTGCTACATACAAATTGTATTATAATCCGTAATTTAATTGAAAACTTGAGCTCATTGATTCAGCTGTGTATGAATTCAGGCGTAAAAAGTGCTGAGTAGTGGCGCCCGTTCTCCTCCAATCACAGAACGAGGCTGCGTCCTCTAGCCTCTACAGCGCTGCTAAACACAGTAGCATGTTAGCATAAGTGGCTATAACTCCTCTGGCTGTAACTGCAGACACAGCAAAACAGCCCAAACCACACAACAGTGAGGAAGAGAAGAGGAAACTAAAGCCAAAACATGATCAAAGAAGAAATCAAGCCCGGGTGAACATAGCTAGCTTACATCGTATCCTCTGGAGAGACTTGTCTATGGGAGAGACCTGCGGGACCGCCTCGGACTATCTATGCTCGGACTATCTGCGCTCGGACTATCTACGCTCGGACGATCTACGCTCGGACTATCTACGCTCGGACTATCTACGCTCGGACTATCTACGCTCGGACTATCTGCGCTCGGACTATCTGTGCTCGGACTATCTGCGCTTGAACTATCTACGCTCGGACTATCTGCGCTCGGACTATCTGTGCTCGGACTATCTGCGCTTGAACTATCTACGCTCGGACTATCTATGCTTGAACTACATTTGGACGTGAAACTAGCGGTAACCTTTCAGTTATATATTGTGTTAGCAGTGCGTTGCTTTTGTGCCATTTCATCAGTGAGTTTTGTACAGTTTACAAGAAGTTGTGCTCATGCTAATGTTAGCATATGTATCAGATCGCAAATAAAACTAGATGGCTCCGTGGGATGAGCGCGTCGGGGAAATGAGAAGCCTGTGAGCGAGTTGGGGGCGGGGCTAAACATTCAAATCTTGCAGAAACGGGTATAGCTCCTTTAAAGTAATGAAATACATACTGAGCCCCTTCAAAACACACCTGGTTTCTTATCAGTGAAATGCCGTCAGTGTGTCTGGATGGACACAAAAACTCTGTGTTAAGTTTAAGTTGAGTATTTTTACCATTTCTTTTGTTAATATTTCTATGAATTAACAGTAATTTTCCACTGCATGTGTGGCAAAAGTAATGTAATCACTGTAATGTATTGCATTTTACTGTAATGCGGCAATCCAAACAAAACATATATAACATTGGATTTTAACCTAAAATTGAATAGTGTTTTGTTTTTATACAATACCACCGTGAGATTAGTCTGGTCCTACCATGTGTAAACTCTGGTCCATGATCATTTCCTACATGTACGTCTGGTCTTACCATGTGTAAACTCTGGTCCATGATCATCTCCTACATGTACGTCTGGTCTTACCATGTGTAAACTCTGGTCCATGATCATCTCCTACATGTACGTCTGGTCTTACCATGTGTAAACTCTGGTCCATGATCATCTCCTACATGTACGTCTGGTCTTACCATGTGTAAACTCTGGTCCATGATCATTTCCTACATGTACGTCTGGTCTTACCATGTGTAAACTCTGGTCCATGGTCATTTCCTACATGTACGTCTGGTCTTACCATGTGTAAACTCTGGTCCATGATCATTTCCTACATGTTCGTCTGGGTCTGATCCTAGTGGCTGCAGTTTCCTCGGTTCAATCCCCTCCGACCAATCAGAGAGCGGGGGAGGCGGGTGTTGGAGGGAGGTGTCGGTCAAGAGTTTGCTCCATATTTGCTGGTTGTCGTTTGGCGGAGAATGTGATAGTAAGATAATTGTGAAAAAGGGTTCTTCTACAGTTATCTGGACACAATGCACACAACAGACAAAGATTAGTTTTTTACCTGCATGTAACAAGACAGCCAAAAGCCAAGTCCTGCTCGATACTTCGCAGGCAGGTTATCTATTTCAGTGCAGATAACCCACACCCTCACACACGGAAAAGCCCCAAAAAAGGTGAAGTTACACATAAAGCACTTGCCGGACATTGGGCCTCATGTATGAAACTTGCGTAGAAAAAGGTGTACATTTTGGGTGTATATTCCATTTACGCAAAATCTAACGTCGGATTTATGAACGTGTGAGATTCGCACAGATCTGTGCGTACGCACCTGCGGGTGTTGATAAATGCCGCGGCTGAAAATGAACGTATTTATGAAAGTCACGCCTAGAATTATGCAGCAATCGCGTGTTTCACGCCCGTTTTTGCGACAGGTCAGCACGGAAGCCGGCCAAAAAGACTGTTTGAAAGCCTCAAAAGGCACGTTTGTTCCTGTTTGCGTAAAAAAAAAAAAAAAAACGCTATATGTTCAGCTGCGTTTTGAACAAATTAGCAAAAATGTTTTAATTGTAGAAGTGAATAGATAAAGAATGAATGAATTCATATTTATATTGCAGCGCTGGCTCTCATCAATGAAGCGTCTGCAGCGTCTTGGACGCAGCCTGGCTCGGGGTAGAAGTGCGCATTGAAGCACTGTACACTGAGAGAGCTTTTGCGATCCAGATTTTACAAAGAAACTCTGGAGCCAAAACTTATGAATGACAGGAGTTTTGCGGCGCAACCTCTCACGGACCCGCTGCGCACTCTGGACAGAGCAGTTAGTCTGGACAGAGCAGTGAGTCTGGACAGAGCAGTGAGTCTGGACAGAGCAGTGAGTCTGGACAGAGCAGTGAGTCTGGACAGAGCGGTCAGTCTGGACAGAGTGGTCAGTCTGGACAGAGCAGTGAGTCTGGACAGAGCAGTGAGTCTGGACAGAGTGGTCAGTCTGGACAGAGTGGTCAGTCTGGACAGAGTGGTCAGTCTGGACAGAGCAGTGAGTCTGGACAGAGCGGTCAGTCTGGACAGAGCAGTGAGTCTGGACAGAGCAGTGAGTCTGGACAGAGCGGTCAGTCTGGACAGAGCGGTCAGTCTGGACAGAGCGGTCAGTCTGGACAGAGCGGTCAGTCTGGACAGAACGGTCAGTCTGGACAGAGCGGTCAGTCTGGACAGAGCGGTCAGTCTGGACAGAGCAGTGAGTCTGGACAGAGCGGTCAGTCTGGACAGAGCAGTGAGTCTGGACAGAGCAGTGAGTCTGGACAGAGCGGTCAGTCTGGACAGAGCGGTCAGTCTGGACAGAGCGGTCAGTCTGGACAGAGCGGTCAGTCTGGACAGAGCGGTCAGTCTGGACAGAGCAGTGAGTCTGGACAGAACGGTCAGTCTGGACAGAGCGGTCAGTCTGGACAGAGCAGTGAGTCTGGACAGAACGGTCAGTCTGGACAGAGCAGTGAGTCTGGACAGAGCAGTGAGACATTTGGAGTGAGCAATACCATCCAAACATTGGTTTGTGTGTGTCTGAGGCTTACACAAATCTAATGAAATAATACATTGCTTTACCAGATGTGAATAAGGAAAAACAGATAGCCGTGCGTAATTACGCAGCGCAGAGCCTGCCACAGCAATAGCTGGGTCACACTTCACTGTCGCGTAAAGTGTATTTGTATAGAGCCTTTCACAGTGCAGGATCACAAAGCACTTCACATTTTAAAAACATACAGATCAAAATAATACACACACAAGTCAGATTTAAAATCATAGAAACAGAAGAGGCTCCTCATCATGATTTGTGTTTTATTCAAAATGTGCGTGTTTCCATTAGACTTTTTCTGATGCACAAATTCAAATTTAGAAACATGATGCTCCATGAAAACACAGCTTATTATATTGCCAGAGTGGGAACATGTTTATTGTTGTCCAAATCTTTAATTTCATGCGTGTTTTGGCGTGTTGTGACGAAGGGTGAAATGAGCGTACACATTTACACCACGTATTGACTTGGTGTAAATTCTGTGCGTACCGTACGTTCACGTCCAGACTGATAAATGCGGAAAAGTGTACATTTTTGGCGTACGCATCATTTACACCCTGATTTGGCCGTACGCAAGTCTCATACATGAGGCCCACTGTCTTGCAACATAATTTTCACAAAACACCCCAATTGTGGACAATGTGGATACTTATTAGCTTGGTTTCAACACCTCAATTGTAGATTTCCACTCTCCAAAGTGGGTCAACCCAAAAGTTTATAGTCACATTCATTTAAACGATAACCTAAAGAACAATTCCATTTTCAGTAATGTGTTCTGGTTCAGCTCCAAATATCAAGAAAATGAAGCCGGAGAAAGAAGAATATTTAGTAAATGTCATTGCTGCAAGATGTTATGGCTCTACTCCCACGAGCTCTGTTAGGGGCAAAGGCGATAACGACTTGAATCCAACTGTGAGTGTGTCTGTGAGACGGGAAATCAATGAAAACTCTTGAAATATGCACAATACATCCCCTTTAACGTCCTGCCAAACATCTTCCTTGTGGTTTTGACGGAAAAGCTGCGATTGTTCAAACACTATTAGAATTTCAAATGAGCCGAACACATCCCCATCCCAACATTACCGTTATTTTGCCAGTTCTTGCGTTCGCCCGTTACCCACTGATGCATTCACTCGTTAGGTCCGTCTGCTGAGGACATTAGGACGGAATAATTATCTTTCTGCAAAAAAACAGAAACCGTGTGACCTCAGGCTCGAACGCCAGCTTAAAGAAACACAGACAGATCACAGGCTTTCCACTTAAAGACCAGAGAAAAGGTCAGTCTCTGTGTAATATGTCTGAGAATGGGACCAGGTGGTAATGGGACCAGGTGATAATGGGACCAGCTCCTCTACCAGAAGGTTCCGTGGCATTTCATGAATCTACTTGACTCCTTTTCCAACACCATTTAAATTGTTTGTTTTTATGCATACTCTGGTTGGTGGTGATGTGTTTATGAATGAGTGTCTCCCATGTTGGATAGTCTACACGGTTAATTTTAGCCGAGATATAATTGAAGCCGCGATTTATTTATAGTCGGTTATTTTGACTAAAACATGGTAGTTTTGATTTGATTTGATTTCATTTATTTTCATTTCGTACATGCCAAGTTACAAGACTTAACCAAACAGGATCAGACAACTTGTATGTATAAGTACACAACAGAAGCACCAAAATGAATAGTACTAATGTTCAGTTAACATAGAAGTATATGTAAATAAAAAAATCGTAATAATAATAATAATACAAATAATACATTGTCTTGTTTCATGTACGAAAGGGAAGAAGAAGGGAGTGGGAAGAAGTAAAAACGTATTTGACATGAGATTTCCAGTTAACTTGTTCGTCAATTATTACCCCTAAACATTTGATTTCCTTAACTCTCTCAATACTTATGCCATTTAATCTAATTTGAACATGCATTTAATTCTCGTTGTTGCAAAAAAAATGTTGTTTTCTCCACATTCAAAGACAGCTTATTTACATCAAACCAAACTTTGAATTTTTCCAAGTCTATTGTAATCTCGTTGATTAACATTTTCAAATCAGGTCCAGAAAAAAAACCAATAGTGTCATCGGCAAACAAAACTAATTTTGCGACCTTTGACACCTTGCATAAATCATTTATATAAAGAATAAACAATTTTGGGCCCAGAACTGAGCCCTGAGGGACTCCACACTTAATTTCCATGCACTATGAGCAAGCATTCCCCAGTTTAACGTATTGACTCCTTTTACTTAAGTACCTCTGACCCCATACTTCTCAAGTTTACGAAATAAAATAGAGTGATCAATTGTGTCAAACGCTTTCTTCTAAAAATAAACCAATTGTATGATGTTTTTTAAAGAGGTTTGGGGCACTATTGGCCCTTCTGTGAGGGACATCATCAACAGCAGCTTGCTAACTGGCAATGTGCCTTCCTTTTGTAAAAGCGCTGTTGTTGAGCCTTTGATAAAAAAAGCAGGTCTTGATCCCATGGTTTTATCAAATTATCGCCCCATTTCAAAACTACCCTTTGTTTCAAAAATATTGCAGAAATGTGTTTTGGCACAACTGCAACCTTTTTTAAATGAAAACAGCACTTTAGACCCATTTCAGTCTGGATATAAAGCTTTGCACAGTACTGAATCTGCACTTTTAAAGGTTTTTAATGATTTGCTTTTATTGACTGATTCTGGAGGCTCCACCATTTTAGTGCTTTTAGATCTTACTGCTGCTTTTGACACTGTTGACCACACAATTCTTTTAGACCGCCTGAGAGATTGTGTGGGCGTCAGGGGGACTGCTTTGGAGTGGTTCAGGTCCTACCTGTCGGAGAGGTCTTTCTCAGTCAGGCTGGGGGATGCCACATCTTCTTCTGCCTCACTTTATTGTGGTGTCCCTCAAGGATCTATCTTGGGACCTATCCTTTTTGCACTCTATCTCCTCCCACTTGGGGAGATTTTTAACAGACATGGAGTGTCCTATCACTTTTATGCAGATGACTGCCAAATTTATATGCCAATTTCGAGAGGCCATGCCCCCCTGACGCCCCTGCTCAACTGTCTATGTGACGTCAAGGCTTGGTTAGCCCAGAATTTTTTTTTTTTTTTTTTTTATAATTTTATTTATGCATTTTCAATATGACAATTCACATATTATGTGTGTACCAGACACAGAATGACATGCCTTTTCTTTCAAACATATAAACAAAACAGAAAAACAAACAAAAAACTAAAAAAAAAATAAAACAAAAAATAATGCAATAGATTGACTGAAAAAAATTACAAAACAAACAAAACTAAAAAATATGAGAAATGTACACGAGATTTCCATACTGTAATAAAAGGTAGATTTAGAGTTGCAGGTCTTATTATAACTATATCAAGGTATGCCAACCATTTTCAAATCTTCAATGTATTTTAGGAATGGGCGCCATGTTCGTTCGAATTTGACAATTGAGCCAGAAAGTGTATACCTAATTTTTTCTATATGTAGAAAGTGCATAAGATCAGTGATCCAGTGGGAATGTGTAGGAGAGGACTCATCTTTCCATTTAAAAAGAATAAGACGTCGTGCCATCAAAGAGGCAAAGGCCACAGCACGCAAGGAGTAATTTGGGATAGTTACTCCAGGAGGCATCACCCCAAAGAGCGCAGTCAGAGCATTGGGTACAACTCCGATGCTGTAAGCCTCTGAAAGAGTTTTAAAAATAGATGTCCAATAATTATAAATGTTAGGGCATGACCAAAAGGTATGTATGAGTGAACCAACATCAGACTTGCAACGATTACACAAAGGATCTGTGCCCGGATAAAATATTTAGCTATTTTCTCCTTAGAAAGGTGTAATCGGTGGAGGACCTTAAATTGAAGAAGTCCATGCCTGGCACAAATAGAAGAAGAGTGCACCCCTCGAAGCATGGCCCCCCAGAGCTCATCTGTTACGTTTAGTGCTAGATCCTTTTCCCAATGTGATTTAATAATAGTCAAAGATGGAGACTGTATATCAAACAAAATATTATAAATTTTTCGAATGCTTCCCTTTTTAGAAACATTTATATCTAGTATTTCGTCTATAGCTGAAGCTACTGGTAGATTAGGAAAGGAAGGGTATTTGTTTTTCATAAAATGACGTAACTGCAGATAACGAAAAAAATGTGTTTTAGGTATATTAAAATTTTCGGTTAGTTGCAAGAATGAGGCAAAAACATTATCAATAAAAAGATCTTTAAAGGTGTGTAACCCTTTGCTGTTCCAAATCTTAAAAGCAGAGTCAACCATGGACGGTGGAAATGCATGGTTTGAATACAAAGGCGCCTTTATTGACATAGTATGCAGGCCAAATTTTTTCCTACACTGTACCAATATTCTTAGCGAATCATAAAGCAGGGGGTTACATTTGAAATGGTGAATTTCTAAAGGGAGTGATGTTGTTAACAATGCTGGCAGGGAGGTATTTCCACAATAATTTTTCTCAATATTAACCCAAGAGGGAGCCACATCCTTAGTCCAATACAGCATATTTCGTGTATTTGCTGCCCAGTAATAGTACTGAAAATTTGGCAGGGCTAAACCACCTAATGATCTCGGTCTTTGCATAAATTCTTTGCGGATTCGTGGAGGTTTACCATTCCATATGTAAGTTGAGATAAGTTTATCAAGAGAAACAAAAAACTTTTTCGGTAGGTAAAGTGGGATACATTGAAAAAGGTACAAAAATTTTGGCAGAATAGTCATTTTAACAGAGTTGACACGCCCTATCAATGATAATGGTAAGTTATTCCATCTTTGTATGTCAGTTTTCATTTTCTCAACAAGTGACATGAAATTAGTTTCATATAATAATTTAAAATCTTGAGTTACTTTAACACCTAGGTATGTTATAAAGTCTGTTTTAACTTTGAAGTTGAAATTAGAAAATGAAATTTCTTTAGCCTTTAAGTTAATTCCAAGTAATTCACTTTTATGCATATTCAATTTATAACCAGAAATGCGGCCAAAATCATCAAAAATGGTAAAAGCATGGGGGAGAGAGCTCAAGGGATCTGATATGTACAATAACAAGTCGTCTGCATATAAAGACAGTTTATGTTCTTGTCCTGCCCTACTAACACCCTTAACTTTTTTATCCGCCCGCAGTTTAATCGCCAGGGGTTCTATTGATAAAGCAAACAAAAGTGGGGATAAAGGACAACCCTGTCTTGTACCACGGTGGAGTGGGAAATACGGAGAACATAAGGAGTTTGTTCGTACTCGAGCCATAGGTGAAGAATAAAGCAAGCGTATCCAGGATATGAATTTGGGGCCAAAGCCAAATTGGTCAAGAATATAAAAACAAATAGTCCCACTCCACCCGGTCAAACGCTTTCTCAGCATCAAGTGACAGGGCTACCTCCGGAGTTGTGTTTGAATGTGTACATAAAATATTGAAAAACCTACGCAAATTAAAGAAACCTTGCCTTCCCTTGACAAATCCTGTCTGATCCGACGATATCAGGGAAGGTAAGTAATTATCAAGGCGAAGAGCAAGTAATTTGGATAAAATCTTGAAGTCTACATTTAACAATGATATAGGTCTAAAGGAAGAACATTCCAGTGGGTCCTTATTTGGTTTCAGCAGTAGTGAGATGCTGGCTTGTCGGAGAGTGGGCGGAAGGGTTGATTTATCGAGGGACTCTATGTACATATTTCTCAATAAGGGAGAAAGAATGTCTTTAAAAGTTTTAAAAAATTCAACAGGATAACCATCCGGCCCCGGTGATTTTGAACTTTGCATAGCACTGATTGATAATTTAACCTCCTCAATTGATATTGACTCCTCTAATTTATCTTTAAAAACTGGCTCTAAGGTAGGAATTGCTAAGTTTTCAAAAAAATTATTGAATAGCTCTTGTGATTTTAAGGATTCAGACTGATATAGAGTATCATAAAATGTTTGGAAGGTATCATTGATTACCTTTGGATTTATAGTAACCTGTCCATTTTGGGTTCTGATTTCGGATATTAGACGTGTGGATTCTGACTTCCGCAGCTGATGCGCTAGAAGTTTTGAAGCCTTGTCCCCATGCTCGTACCATCGACCTCTAGATTTCTGAATCAAACGTTCAGCCTGTTGAGTTGTTATCAAATTGAATTCAGTTTGTAAAACCATACGTTGTTTGTACAACTCTGGGGTAGGTGTCAAGGAATGTTGAGAATCTAATTTAGCAATTTGTCCCGTCAACTCTGAAATACGATTTTGTTTCTGCTTTTTATTATATGAACAGAAAGAAATGATCTGTCCTCGCAGAAATGCTTTTAAACTTTCCCAAACAGTACTATATGCCATACCGGGGGTTAAATTTGACTCTAGAAAAATATCGATTTGTTCACCAACATATTCCACAAATGTTTTATCGGATAATAGCAATGGATCAAGTCTCCATGAATACATAGAAGCTTCATTTGGAAAGTTAAGTTCTAGAACCAAAGGGCTATGATCAGACACAACTATACTTTCATATCTGCAAGATTTAACATTTGAGATCATTTTCTTATCCATAAAACAATAGTCAATGCGTGAATATGTTTGGTGCACTGGTGAGAAAAATGAGTAGTGTTTTAAAGAGGGGTTAAAATGACGCCACACATCGACCACTCCATACATATTCAGATATGATTGTAAAATTCGAGCGGATTTTGAGACTGAAAGAGGTTTTGTAGATGATCTGTCGAGAATTGGGTCCATCACCGTGTTCATATCACCACAGAGTAACAAGTAATGTGTATTGATTTGAGGTAAAGAGTGAAGAAAGTTCTTGAAAAAATTTTGATCATCCCAGTTAGGGGCATATACATTGGCCAGAACTAAAGGAATATTAAACAAAGATCCAGTTACTATTATGAAACGACCATTAGGGTCAGATATTGTGTCGGAAGCCCTAAAAGGAGTGTTTTTATGAATGAGAATGGCAGTGCCTCTCGCTTTTGCGTTGAAATTTGAGTGGAAAACTTGTCCCACCCAATTTCTTTTTAGTTTTGGTTGTGATAACTTTTTGAGGTGTGTTTCCTGTAGAAATGCTATGTTTACTTTGAGGTGTAACAGATGAGAAAGTATCTTATTGCATTTAATTGGATGGTTCAGTCCTTTTACATTCCAACTTATGAAGTTAACATGACGGCCATTACCTCCAGCTTGAGAATTATCTGATAGAATAACCATGGTTGTCTTCAAGTGAATGAGTATTCCAGTTGGCATGCGACATTTCTGCTACTACGGATACAAAGAAAGAATTAACTACAGTAAAAAAAAGTGCAAGGCGGAAACAAAACAGAAAAAAACACACATAGCCCCCCACCCCCCCCCCCCCCCCTGGTGTTGTCCCCAATCGACAAACACAACATGCCCCAAGTGTCCTCACTTCTATTGAGAGTCCTCTTCTTCTCAACCACACCCCTTCTTTAAAAGGCAAATAAAATAACCTGCACAATTAAGAGTGCGCACAAAAAATGAGGTAAAATATACAAAATATCAGGAGATCCATTTATGATTCACCCTAGTAGGAGTGAAATAAAAATAAATAAAAATAAAGGTTAAAAAAACTGAAATAATAATAATGACAAACGGTAGCTGTGAATAAAATTAAATTAGTGGAGAAATATAGGGGATAAAACGAATAGATAAATAAAATAATCATATATAGACCTGATAATTGCTGTGAATTAAAAAATAAATAATAAATAAAAAATGTTACAGAATTCTTCACAGCTAAAATATCTTAAAAAATAGTAAAATATGGTCTAGTGATCAATCTGTCAATAACGTGATTTAAACTAAAAATAAATAGAATTGGAAAAAAAAATAGTAATAGAAAAAATAATAGAAAATATATACAAAAATAATGTATTAAAACAATAAACAAAAAACCCAAATACTCATGGATTGCACATCAAAATCAGTATTATTTTACTAATGTAATTAAGAGAAAAAATGTAATCAGACAAATAACTTATTAACTTGTAACCCTTCAGATAACACAAAAGTAACTTAACTGTAATTGGATTGTCTTTAAACATTCATGCCATCAGCAGAGTAGTCGTTTTTTTTTTTTTTTTCTTTTTCCCCTCTAAACTTTTGAGTCAATGTAATCTTTCACACTCTTGGGGTTGTCAAATACTTTCGTTTCCCCGTCCCAGGACACTCGCAGCCGAGCTGGATAGAGCAGACCATAACGAACTCGATCCTTCCCCCGGAGCAGCGCTTTCACCTCGTTAAAAGCTGAACGGCGTCTGTTCAGTTCAGCACTGAAATCCGGGAAGATGAGGAGCGGATTTCCACGGAACTCCAGTCGGCCTTTCTCTCTTGCAAGACGCTGAATGCGCTCCTTCTCTTGGTAGTAGTGAAAGCGGACGATGAGTGGTCGTGGTCTTCCTCCAGCCGCGGAGGGTTGAGCTGATGTCCTGTGGGCTCTATCCAAAATTGGAGGTTTCTCCAGGCCATTGGGACCACCGAGAACTTCGTGTAATAAGTCCGCAACAAACTTCGTTGGATCTCCTTGTTCAAGCCCCTCGTTGATGTTTTTATTCTTATTTTTATTATCTCTTTTTGACTGTTGCACTGAGCCAAAGCAATTTCCAAGTCTGTGACCTCCCGTTACTTACGTTGGCAATAAAAATGATTCTGATTCTGATTCTGATTCTGAAAAGGCGTAGATTGCACCGCCTGCCCCTATTTTCGATGTCATCCAACTTTTGAACAAGTTTGTCATACTTGTTGCTCAGCTCAGTGTAGTTAGCCTCTGTAGCTGTCACCCGAGTATCAAGCTCAAAGAGTTCTTGGCCGTGGTCACGGAGCTTATCTGTACAGTCATCAAGCACTTTATGAATTGGCGCAATTGCTCGGCTTATTTCTTCCCTTAAACCATCGTTTTCTTCTCTAATTACTTCTTTTACGATGTCCCGGAAAGCCTGAAGCATGTTAGCATCGATGGTAGCAGTGTTAGCCTCTGGTGCGGGGCTATTAGCCTTAGGTGTGCCTGACTTGCTAGCTTCTGGGTTGCTAACCTGCGATTTTCCCGATTTTGGAGGCATTTCGTTGAAGTTTGTGTCCACAGGACGATGCTGACGACGAAAAGTATTATCCACTCACCAGAGGAGTACTTTGTATGAAAAGTTATGCAGATTTTTATCAATTTTGAAGAGGATTTCGGGACCTCGTGGTTTGCACGTCTACCTCATAGCGCGCCCCTAGTGGTCTCCAGCCCAGAATTTTTTAGTAATGAATGAGGGAAAAACGGAAATTTTAACATTTGGACCGGCCCTTACTGACTTGGGACCACTAGGAAATTATGTGCGTTCCAAAGTCACCAGCCTTGGCGTGACTATAGACAGTGATTTTAAATTTGACAAACAAGTGAATGGCGTTTTAAAATCGTGTTTTTATCATCTTCGGCTTTTATCAAAAGTGAAGCCATTCTTATCTTTTAACTTGTTAGAACAGGTTGTGCATGCTTTTATTTCCAGTCGTCTGGACTACTGCAACGCACTTTATGCTGGTGTCAATCAGAAAACCCTCTCCCGGTTGCAGTTGGTCCAGAACGCAGCAGCACGACTTTTAACGGGGGCCAGAAAGCGCGAACACATCACCCCTGTACTCGCGTCTTTGCACTGGCTCCCTGTTCCTTTTAGAATTGATTTTAAAATTTTACTGTTTGTTTTTAAATCTTTGCATGGACAGGCCCCTGATTACATCTCGGACCTCATCCAAATTTACACTCCTGCGCGCGCCCTGAGGTCCGAGAGCCAGCTCCAGCTCGTGGTCCCTAACGCGAGACTTAAAACCCGGGGGGACAGAGCCTTCTCTGTGGTCGGCCCTAAGCTCTGGAACGCTCTTCCCCTCCATGTCCGGACGGCCCCCACAGTAGAGTGTTTTAAGTCTCGTCTTAAGACCCACTTTTACTCTTTGGCTTTTAACACTGTGTGAGTTGTGTGGTCCTCTGTGTTTTTATTTTTCTATTTATGGTTTTAATCTGTTTTATATATTTTTATTCTTTTATACTTGGTGAAGCTAAGGATAAGTTGTTTTTTATTTTATACTTTTTTGTGCAGCACTTTGGAAACGTAACTGTTGTTTAAATGTGCTATATAAATAAAGTGGATTGGATTGGATTGGATTTTTGTTCCAATGCATTAGTGATCTTCCCTGTGGCATCAATCAATGCCATTGATGTTGCTCTGTTGCTACGGAAACCATACTGGTTTTCACTTAATATAGTGTGTTTAACCAAGAAGTTATCAAGATGCTTAAAGATGCAGTAAGCAATTTTGTTAGCTTGGCCGTAGCACCAACTTGAAACCACTCCCCTCGCCTCTCCACCAAACCAAAACAACCGGCACACGTGAACGCGCATCCACACGTGATATCATCTGTCATCAGTTGAACACGTCTCATTCTCCTGATGAGCAGAGGAGGTGCGTATCACGGCTGTGTACACAGCTGCAGAGTTGCGGCTGCTGCTGTCTCTGAGGTCTATGGAGAAGTGTAGAGGACAGTGTAATGTGTTCACTGACACTAATGATCAGTGTCAGTGAACACTTCGGTGGACCCTTTTATAAATTTCACTCGCGAGGATGCTAAGGAGAGTGAACTGGCCTTTCTAGATTGTAAGGTCATCATACTGGAGAACGGACAATTAGAGACTGAGGTCTTCAGAAAGTCCACTCACACTGACCAGTACCTGGCCTTTGATTCAAATCATCCGCTACAACACAAACTCGGGGTCATTAGAACGCTTCAACACCGAGCCCACCAGGTCCCCACTAGCTCGGAGGGAAAGAACAGAGAAACCAAACATGTTCAGAGAGCACTTTCTAGATGTGGCTACCCCAAGTGGTCTTTTACTAAAGCCCAAAGGACGAGAAAGGCCAGAGACACAGTCCAACAGACAGAAGAAAGTAGAAGAAGAGGCGTGTCCTTACCGTATGTGGCGGGAGTTTCAGAGAAACTACAAAGAATCTTTAGGCAACACAAAATCCCTGTGTTTTTCAAACCTTTCAACACGTTAAGACAGAAATTAGTGCATCCCAAAGACAAAACACCCAGACACAAACAGAGCAATGTGGTGTATTCAATTAAATGTAGTCAAGAGGAGTGCACTGACCACTATATTGGAGAAACCAAACAAACTCTACAGAAACGACTTTACCAACATCGTAGAGAAAACTCTAGTGGGCCACAGTCGGCTGTTCATCTCCACCTCAAGGCCTCCAACCACACGGTGGATGACACAGAGGTTAAAATTCTGGCTCGGGAGAAGAATTGGTTTGAGAGAGGGGTGAAAGAAGCCATTTTTGTGAGGAAACAAAAACCTTCTCTTAACAGAGGAGGAGGGTTAAAATTTGTTTTGCCTCGCATCTATGACGACATCCTAAAAACAACGCCCTAACTTGGGACAAGGTCAGTGACATGCTAATGAGTTAGGAGGGGTGAGACCGGCACTCCACTTGAGCATCCCAGCAGACAATAGGTCTGTGACATGCTAAGGAGTTAGGGTCGTTAGCCTCAGCAGGGTCGTTAGACCTGCTCCCTTCTACATCAAGCAGACCTTAGATTGTTTATGAGTTAGTATCAGGATTAGGGTGTGGCTAACCACACCCATAGGTTATAAATCTCCAACGCGCGGTCTGAGAAGTCATTCCCTGAAGAAGTCCTTAGGATTGAGGATGAAACGTCGGGAAAACTTGCTAAGAAGTACAGGTGATGGGTGAGAAACCTTCCTTTGCTTTGACTAATCCCTGTACGACTGAGGGCTTACACAAACTAACGATCAGTACGTTTACTCTGCACTCTGTCCTACTACAGTACAGACGTGTTGCAGCAGCCGTTACTATTTGTCGGCTCGCGCGTATGTTAGTATTTGGGGCGTTCACAGGCAGTCCGTACAAAAAGTATTGACATGGCAGAAAGTGCGGTAGAGCAGTAAAATCCACATGTCTGTCCTCATGGTCTCTGTGGCTGTTGTGGTCAGACGTGAGACTTTATGAACTGTGTGAAGAGGAGAGACCTGCGCACGGCCGTTATGTGTGATGTCAGTGAAAATGACCTTGTGAATGCACTGCCAGATCTCAGATGTCCTCCGCGATTATCACACAATTCAGTCATGTTTAGAAAATCCAACTCAGGTGCGCACACTTGCGAGAAACAGGAAGAGGGTGAAGGGGGTAAACGCATGGACGGCACTAGATCATATACGGAATCGGGACGAAACTGGAAGTAACAATCCTACTTTCGAATTAGTTTTAGACTAAAAAGTCCTTAAGTGGTGACTGGTTAAGTTTTAGGCGTCTAATTAAGATGGTTAAGGTTAGGGTTAAGGCTGAGTTCGGGTTATTTTATGGGAATGGCTGGTTAAGTTTAGGCATGAATAGGTATTTTGTTATATTTACTTTCGCTTCCGTCCCGATTCCGTATATGATCTAGTGCTGACCATAAACGCATCCCATTGGTTCGTTGGGGATGAACGAATCCCATTGGTTTATTTTTATCGTTCCGCTCCAAAGTATTATCTGTTAATTTTTGGAGACAATAGGCATCTGGTCAATCTCCCTTACTATTTGAAAACACACGATAGCTTGACTACTTTTAGGGTTTAGGGACGTTTTCCCACAATATTTAAAAAAATGCATCTGGAAAAAATCACTGACGTCATCTTTAATGACGTCAGTGAACTTTTGAAAACTGAGGAAGCAAAGACACTGGCCTATAGTTCGTAAAGAGATGCTTATTGCCTGTCTCCTTCAATAACGTTCTTAACTATAGTCATATCAATATTGTCTGCATCTACTGAGGATTTACTCAATCAATAATCTCCCTCTCATCTACCGGATTAAGGAACTTTGAATTCAGATTATTATCAATGTAACAATCAATGGGAGGATTAACTTGTGGGATCTGTTTGGCCAAGTCTGGTCCAACGCTAACAAAAAAAATATTAAAATGATCAACAAAGTGTTATAGTATTCTTTCTTTGATTTTCTCAGAATACTAATTAGCTTGTTTTTATATATTTTATATTTCTGTTCAGACTCAGTGGTCCTTAACTTCATGAATTCCCTGTACAGAGTATTTTTCATTTTGAAGGCATTTTGCAGACCTTTTGTCCTCCATGGCTGGCACGGTCTACCTGAGGCCTTTACTTTCTTTAACGGGCAGTTTTTGTCATACAGACGACTGAATGTCTTTATAAATTCATCATATGCACTATCAATGTCAGTCTTATTGTAAATGTTGTTCCAATTTTGTTGCAGTAATTCATATTTAAATGCTGTTATTGTTTCCGCTGTTGACACTCTCTTATACATTGTAGGCTTGTTTATTTTCTGATTGGTCACCTTGAAATTTATGTCATAGATTGTAGAAACTGGTATCTGATCACTAATATCCATAATAAGAAGTCCACTAGTTAAATAGGTCATTTGTGAGGATGTTGTCAATTAAAGTTGCACTATTTGCAGTTATCCTAGTCGGTCTAGTGATCTTGGGATGTAAATTCATACTATAAATAGTGTTTACAAAATGTTCAGTAATGTTGTGATTGTCCTGGTTCAGAAGATCAATATTCAAGTCCCCGCAAATAAATATGGGTTTAGTTGTCTTCTCCGAAAACATTTTGACCATCCAACCGCTAAATGAATCAATACAAGAACCCGGCGCCCGGTAAATACAACTTATAATTGTTTTTCACTGTCATCTGTTTCAACTTGGATTGACAAACACTCCAACAAATTGATTACAACAGACATTTTTTCAATCACATTGAACTTTAGACAGTTATGAACAAAAAAAGCAACCCCTCCCCCCCCTTTGCTCTGTCTGTCATGGTGTATAAATTCATATCCTTCCAACTTAAAATCTGCTCCTTTCACCGTATTTATCCAAGTCTCAGATATTGCAATAATGCTGAAGGGTTGTTCAGTTTGAGACAGAAAATACTTAATGTCCAAAAAGTTTGCATAAAGGCTTCTACTGTTGATGGTTGTGGTTAAGACTGCCTCAAAAGCTGTACAGTTACCTTTTGTGTACCTTGAAGTTAGCAAGAGGCTACGTCACTGTGTGGGCGGGAGGTAGCGGGAGGTAGCGGGATGACAGCACTGACCCTGAGAAACACTGTTCTCACCACTGACTCTGCGCTAAGTGTCTAAAGTTAGTGCTTGATGCGGTACAACACTCGCACGCTGCCCTTGCAGCTGTACTCGCTTCACCATGATTTCCGCACTGGTTCAAGTCTGACATGTCTGCCAACTAGTGGCAGGGAGTATGAATGAATTTTGACACTCTGTTTGATACACTCGGCCGTTTTAACAGTACTGCAGCTTGTCGACTTACAGTAAGTGGACCGTGGCACCTATGGGTGTGACATGGGAAGTGTCTTTGAGTGTCCAAAAAAGCACTGTAAAAACCAGTGCATTATTCCATTCCATTCCATCTTCTTCCGCTTCATCCGTTACCAGGTCGCGGGGGCAGCAGTCTAAGCAGAGACGCCCAGACTTCCCTATCCACACACACTTCCTCTAGCTTGTCTGGGGGACCCCAAGGCGCTCCCAGGCCAGTTGAGAGACATAGTCCAGCGTGTCCTGGGTCTTCCCCGGGGCCTCCTCCCGGTGGGATGTTCCCGGAATCAACTGGTTCCTCTCGACGTGAAGAAGCAGCGGCTCTACTTCGAGCTCCTCCCGTGTGACTGAGCTCCTCACCCTATCTCTAAGGGAGCGCCCAGCCACTCTGCGGAGGAAGCTCATTTCGACCGCTTGTATCCGCGATCTCGTTCTTTCGGTCATTACCCAAAGCTCATGACCATAGGTGAGGGAGGGAACCAAGATTGACCGGTAAATCGAGAGCTTTGCCTTTCGGCTCAGCTCCCTCTTTACCACAACGGTCCGATACAGCGACCGCATCACTGCGCACGCTGCACCGATCCGCCTGTCAATCTCACGCTCCATCCTTCCCTCACTCGTGAACAAGACCCCGAGATACTTGAACTCCTCCACTTGAGGAAGGACCTCTCCACCCACCTGGAGAGGGCAAGGCACCTTTTTCCGGTTGAGCACCATGGCCTCAGATTTGGAGGTGCTGATTCTCATCCCAGCCGCTTCACACTCGGCTGCAAACCGTCCCAGTGCATGCTGCAGGTCCTGGTTCGTTGGAGCCAACAGGACAACATCGTCCGCAAACAGCAGAGATGAAATCCTGTGGTCCCCGAACCGGACCCCCTCCGACCCCTGGCTGCACCTAGAAATTCTGTCCATGAACACAGTGAACAGAACCGGTGACAAAGGGCAGCCCTGGCGGAGGCCAACATGCACCGGGAACAAGTCTGACTGACTGCCGGCGATGGGAACGCAGCTCTGGCTCCGGTCATACAGGGAGCGGATGGCCCTCAGCAGAGGACCTCCGACCCCGTACTCCCGGAGGACCCCCCAAAGGACACCCCGGGGAACACGGTCGAACACGTTCTCCAAATCCACAAAGCACATGTGGACAGGTTGGGCGAACTCCCACGAACCCTCGAGTATACGATGGAGAGTGTAGAGCTGGTCCAGTGTTCCGCGACCGGGTTCGGGGATGGCCGCCGGGACCAGCACCAGAGACCCTGCGACCACAGCTATGAGCCGCCGCACCGGCGATAGAGGAAGAGAACATGGTCCACTCGGACTCAATATCCCCCTCCTCCGCCGGGACCTGGGAGAAGCTCTCCCGGAGGTGTGAGTTGAAAGTCCGTCTGACAGGGGGCTCAGCGAGACGTTCCCAGCAAAGCCTCACTACACGCTTGGGCCTGCCAGGTCTGACCGGCTTCTTCCCCTGCCAGCGGATCCAACTCACGACCAGGTGATGATCGGTTGACAGCTCCGCCCCTCTCTTCACCCGAGTGTCCGAGACACACGGTCGAAGGTCAGATGATACGACAACAAAGTCGATCATCGACCTCCGGCCTAGGTGCTTGAACATGGTGTTCGTGATGACTGGGTCGCTGAGGTCTCCGTCTTCGACTGCTGCCCAGTCCTCTCAGCACCGCGCCACCACGGACCCCTCTGCAGGTGGTGGGCCCACAGGAGTGACTGCTCACGTCATAACTTCGGGCTGAGCCCGGCCAGGCCCCGTGGGCTAAGGCCCGGCCACCAGGCGCTCGCATTCGAGCCCCGACCCCAGGCCTGGCTCCAGGGTGGGGCCCCGGCTGCGCCATGCCGAGCGACGTCACGGTTCTTCTGTTCGTGCTGTCCATGTTGGCTTCTTACTGCTCTTCGTCTGACTCATCACCCGAGACCTATCTGCCATGGGAGACCCTACCAGGGGCATGAAGCCCCAGACAGCATAGCTCTCAGGATCACCCGAGTACTCAAACTCCCCCACCATGTTAAGGTCCAGGGGGAGCCAATGCATTATTATTATTATTATTGTTATAATTATTATTGTTATAATTTAGGTTCAGTTAAATGCAAAACAAACACGTCTAAATGTGAAATTATGGAACAAAGCGATGAACTGAAGCTGACGCATATTTTTCAAAATGGGATCAAAAATTTTATTGTTCTATTGTCTCAAAAGTTAATTGTGTTTTTTTTGGGAACGAGTGACAGTGCAACGACTGAAGCAGTGATGTGTAGAGAATGAAACTGTGCAGACATGATCAGTAAACAACACACCCACACACAGACACACACACACACACACACAGAGACACAGAGACACACACACACACACAGAGACACACACACACACGCACACACATAGACACACACACACGCTTTTGACAGATTAGGGCCATTTAATTTATCATTATTATTGTTCAGAAATCCTCTTCATTATCTTTACTGCATCTCTCTAGAGTCTAATTTTTGGAACAAAACACTGCAGACCACATAAACACACATCTTATAATAGATAATAAATAAAATAATTAAAACTTTAACCAACTTTATTAAAAGGGACAAATACAGATGTATCTGATTTTATCTCTAGACTCTAAATTAATTGAATTATTGCTGTATTTGTCTGCACTGCCTTCATCTGGTTTGGTCCAATTAAGGCTGGAGCCCAAAGGAAGTGACAAAAGCTGTAAGTGAACTCTCCACAGAGGCCGAAAACTGTGGAAATGACCGGTGCAGGAGAAAAGCTTTAACGAGAGGATTTTTCAAATAAAGACGTCACCGACACCTTCGCACTCTCTGCTGCTCCGTGGGCGTCTGAGGTTAAAAATATCAACTATGTTTTACTTTTCTAATGTTAAGATTGTGAAGTAATGTATCTCTTAAATAGAGAATATTTGGACAACGATCATTGATGTGATGACTTGAATGGGAGAAAATATGTTAAATTCATGTGAAATCACAACGTTTCCATTCAGAGCGAATTTCTCTGTAATTCTTATTGGGTCAATCCAAATGAAACAAAAACAACAACCTTTTTGTCTAGAAGTATTGACAATATAAAAAAAAACATATGCATAATGTTGGTAATGTAGAAGGACTTTCAGTTGTTCAGATCTTCACCGGGACAGAGTGGAGCTGACCGTGGTGCTGAAAGAGAAGCGCGTCTCTGTGCGTCCTGCTCCTCTGTGTCACATTCTGCCTCCAGCGTCTGATGCTGCTGCTAAAGTGTTTATGTACAGTATACAGAGAGATCTCATATTAAAGCAGCAGAAACCTGCTCCAAACCTGTTTGTAACGCGTGTGCACTCCGCTGTGCCACTGTTGAACGTCCTCTCCTCTCTCCCCTCTCTCTCCTTTCTCTCCTTTCTCTCCTCTCTCCCCTCTCTCTCCTTTCTCTCTTATAAAAGTGTAGTAAAGACTAAAGACTCCCGTGAAACCTGTTGGAGCCTTGCTCCTCTGACGTCACGTTTCTGACCTCACAGACGTCTATAAAGCCGCGCGTAAAAGCTCCGCATGAAACAGGACTGAGTTTGATCCAAACAGCAACATGTGCCGCGGCCACAGAACAAGTTTGAGACGCAGCTCCGGAGACGCAGCTGCCGTCCTTCTGACTGCACCACCGTCCTTCTGACTGCACCAGAGAAAGAGTGGACGTTAATTTGCACAGTGGACGTTACTTTACAGAGTGGACGTTACTCTTGTGTTGGACGTTACTCTTGGGTTGGACGTTACTCTTGGGTTGGATGGACGTGCTAAACGGCTCCGTTGTGGACCTGAACGGGAGCACGCAGAGCCCGCAGAACGCATCCGACGGGTTGAGCCTGGAGCCGCGCTCTCTGGTGACCTCCGCGTCCATGTTCGCGGTGGGGGTCCTCGGGAACGTGATCGCGGTGGTCGTGCTGTGCGTGTCCAAGCGCGAGCAGAAGGAGAGCACGTTCTACACGCTGGTGTGCGGCATGGCGGTCACGGACCTGCTGGGCACTTGCTTCACCAGCCCCGTGGTCATCGCCACGTACACGTGCGGCCGCTGGCCAGGGGGGACGTTGTTGTGCCACTTCTTCTCTTTCTCGATGCTCTTCTTCGGCTGCGCGGGCACCTGTATCCTGTGCGCCATGGCCGTGGAGCGCTACCTCGCCATAAACCACGCGTACTTTTACTCGCAGCACGTGGACCGCTCGGTGGCGCGCACGGTGCTGCTGGTCTCGTACGTGGCCACGTTCGCACTGTGCGTCATGCCCAGCTTCGGCTTCGGGAGGCACGCGCGCCACTACCCGGGCACGTGGTGCTTCTTGGACTGGCGCGCCACGGACGCACTGGACGCGTGTTACGCGCTGCTGTACGGGAGCGTCATGCTGCTGCTTGTGTCCGCCACGCTGCTGTGTAACGTGGCCGTGTGCCGGTCCCTCGTGGGCATGAACCTGCGGACCAGCGTGGTGCGCGCGGAGATGTGCGAGCATGCGCCCCGCCGCCGCTTCCCGCGGCTGCAGTCGGTGAGCTCTGCCGCGGAGCTGCAGATGCTGTGGCTCCTGGTGTTTATGACCGCGGTGTTCCTGGTGTGCTCCGTGCCGCTGGTGGTGAGTACTATGTGCATATGTTTCTAAGCGTGTGCGTGAGCGTGTGTGTATCTGGCTGAGCGTGTGCGTGTGGTCAGACGTTTAAAGTCCAGATCCTGAGGCAGCTGGAGGATCTGACCTGTCTCTCACAGACACGGGACCAGTGCCTCCTGTGTCTGTTTTTATGTTCTAATATTATTGCATTAGGTTCAAACTGTTTGGTTCTCTGATCTGTTGTTGGTGAATTCACAACTTTGTAAAGTCCTCTGAGATGACTTCACTGTTGTGATTTTAAGACCACACAAAAGATAAGATAAACTTTATAAACTTTATTGTCCCAAGGGAAATTTGCTTTAGGATACAGTGCTACAAGAATCTGCATGAATGAAAAAGAAAGAAAAGGAACAATTACAGGAAAGTGCAGTAGTGCATTGAAGTCTCTGTTTGGTCCAAAAAAAAAAAAACATATATATATAATATATATATATAGCACAGTAATTGTATTGAGCCTCAGGCCCCGTTTACACAGAGACGATACAATTATCAAAAACGACTCAGAAAAGCGTTTAGGCCCTTTTAATCTAAAACACGTCTTCATGTAAACAAAAGGCCAAACTATCTAACGTTTTACTGTCGCAGCGTCCTCGTGTAAACAGCTCAAACTCAGCGTCTCTGTTGTTTAAAGGCCGTTTCCTCTGACTCCAGTTTGTTTAATGCTCACAGACACAGAGGTGTTTTTGTCATTGCATTTGTGTTTGAACTGTTTGATTCTCTGATCTGTGTCGGCGAATCAACAGCTTTGTAATGTCCTCTGACATAACTACTGTTGTGATTTAGGACTATGTACACAAAAATAAATTGAATTGAATTGGAGTGGATCGCTAATACCCCTCCCCTCTCTGCTTCCTCTCTCCTCAGGTGCGCATCTTTGTGAACCAGCTCTCTGGCGCCACCCACCCGTCGGAGAGGGCGGGGCCTGACACTTGGGGCGACCTGCAAGCCATCCGCTTCGCCTCCTTCAACCCCATCCTGGACCCCTGGGTGTACATCCTGTGCCGCAAGAACCTGCTGCTGAAGGGTTGCGCCAGGCTGAAGGGGGCGCTGTGGGGGGGTGAGGTGCGATGGGTGAAAAGGGGGCGTGGTCATCACTCCCCCAGCCCCTCCCCACCCTCCCTGCACAGCAACGACACCAGCTACGCCTCCATCCGCACGGCTAGCTTCAGACAGAACCCCTTAAATAGACCTGGGCGGGCGGCCGCAGCACTGGGACTTCCACCCCTTCAGCGTCCCGGGGGAGGGGCTAGGGGAGGGGGCGGGGCCTGAGGAGAGGGAGGGGCTAAAGGACCATCAACAAGACCAGCAGGAGCATCAGAAGAGTACTGTCCCGGCTCCGTTGCTTGTAACCAGCGTGATCCGAGGGGACATGGTCACATGCACCATCAGCTACCCCAGCCCCATTGTGAGGTCTTAAAGCTCGGAGACTTAACTTTCAAACCTCCAAACACGGAGCTATGTATTAAAACAGTGTTGCGAGTTTGGACCACTCACTCGACCAGTCAGCTCTCAGTCCCTTAGTGTCATAAAGTGACTCACAGGGCTCTTACAAGTTTAAGGAGATACATTGTTTTCTAAAAATATTGTAGTCTTGTGTTGGTCGCTAAGTTTTGCCTTAACAATATTTTTCCTGTGGGGATGTATGTAAAAAAAGTTTACGCAACAAAAGTTTAAGTACGTCAGCTTTAAATCACCTCTTAAAGGAGACGTCTTATGCAAAATCTACCTTTTTGATCGTTTAACCACGTGGAATGTTCCCCTCAGCAAAAATAGACCTCTTTAGAACCATCCACAATAGCCTGGTCTTACCGCACCTTCGTACTCATTTCAGTTTGTACGTTAACAGGTGGGAGGGGTTAACTCCTTTTGCAGATTGAAACGATCTGAGTTTATTGTGACGTATGTTATTGTGAGACATTTAGCCTAGCTTTCGCATTTAGTCTAGCTTTAGCCATCTCCTTTGCCGCTAACGGAGCCCGTGGGGAGTAGAGCCACAACATCTTTGCTTCAATGACATTTACTAAACATTCCTCTTGCTCTGGCTTCAATTTCTTGATATTTGGATTGAACCAGAACAGATTATTTTACTATCGCATTCTCCGACAAACTACAACCAGTAACTTCAGCACAAACTCTTGACGTCACCGACACCGACCTACAACACCCGCCTCCCCCGCTCTCTGATTGGTCGGAGGGGATTCAACCGAGGAAACTGCAGCCACTAGGATCAGACCCAGACGTACATGTAGGAAATGATCATGGACCAGAGTTTACACATGGTAAGACCAGACGTACATGTAGGAAATGATCATGGACCAGAGTTTACACATGGTAAGACCAGACGTACATGTAGGAGATGATCATGGACCAGAGTTTACACATGGTAAGACCAGACGTACATGTAGGAGATGATCATGGACCAGAGTTTACACATGGTAAGACCAGACGTACATGTAGGAGATGATCATGGACCAGAGTTTACACATGGTAAGACCAGACGTACATGTAGGAAATGATCATGGACCAGAGTTTACACATGGTAAGACCAGGCTACATCCACGCAAATATCAGGAACTTTCGGTACTACCTTTTAGCTCCGCCCCCTTCTGTCTAAACGCTCCTGTCTCAGTCCTGTGATAGTATGATGTCATTGTACCACTATGACATCACACTTTTGCCTTTAAAACAAAAGTATTACTCACTTTGAATCTTATAAAACAGTGATGAAACATTTGGAAGAAGCATTCTATTCAACCAACTTTTTAATGTCTTTTTTAACTTGTATTTTATATTTTTACCCCCATATTATTGCCCCTTGTTTGTCAGAGAGTTTCTGTTTACAAGTGCAGCACCGGCACTTTACTCTGGTCCAGCACTTTACCGTCCGCTCTGGATCAGGAAGCTGAAGACTTTTTCTTACAGATCAAATCCAAAATGTCCTTTTCTAACATTTTTTGCACAAGACGCTCTGGCAGCACGTGTGGTCATGTGACGTCACTGACCACGCGGCTGCCCAGATGCATGATGGGACCTCTCTCTCGTCTCGCAGAGGAAGTTCCCGCGGGTGCTGCTGTTGTGACTGCTGCATGAGACAATGACTGTGAACCCTAGACTAAGTGAATGTTTTATATTCTGTATTAAAAGTGTCAGTAACTGTGAAAAGTTTATAATAAATATGTTTTTGCAGATTTTGACTATTTTCTGTATCTGTTGGTGTGACATATGGCTATGATTGTCAATAGTAATAAATATTAATAATAACTAATCAATTTTATATGTTTCTTTTTGAACACTCAAAGACGCTTCACATGGCACTATTCATTCACTCAAAACACGTTGGCGATAAACTACAGAAGCCACAGCTGCCCTGGGGCACACTGACAGAAGTGAGGCAACCAGTCTGTGCCATATCCGGACCAACCATTTACACACACATCAGACCCATTCTCGTTAGCGTGGGTGATTTATGGCACTTTAAAGCCACAGCCGCCCCACTGTGGCACCTGGCGTTCCCGGAGGTCTCCCATCACAGAACTAACCAGGCCCTTCCCTACTTGGCTTCAGAGGTCCGACAGTAGCACATACAGGAGGCGCCGCACACAGTACAGTATGATACATGCAGTGACATGTTCATCAATTAATTGCTAACTAATCAATTATTTAAACAGTTTATACCCATTTGTAGTCAATTAATCGTCTTTTGAACCTTCTATAGACTTAAACATGATAAAATATACTTGTGTAATTCTCTAAAGACGAATGACATTTACACAAATTTAAACAGTATTTCTTATCAAACAACTCTATGATAGTCTCCAGAAGCATCACGTGAGCATTGTTTTGGTCAAAATGTATAAAAATTATGGAGTTAAACAACTAATAAATTATCAAAATAACCGTTAGTTTCAGCCCGTATGTTTTATTATTTGAACGCTAGGTTGTAGTGCTTCATCTCACCACCAGGCGGCGCTCTTCCACAAGACTTTGGCTCATAAAGGCCTTGATCCTGCAAGTCCAAGGGTTAATCATTTGAAATGTAAAAATCTATTAGTTGTTTTGATCCCGACAATGAATATGGGATTATTTCTTCTTCTTCTATGAATCATAAATCCTCTTCTCAGCTTGTTTAAGTCTGCGTAAGGTTAAAAAAAACAATGACTGGATAACTAAATGAATTTACCACTACCTCAAAAATCTATGAACTTATATTTCTTACTCCAAAGCCAATCTTTTCCTCAGGTCTGTTGGTTTTTCTATTAAAGACACAAGCTCCTGTTCTATCATCATGGAGATATTCTTTATTAAATCATGTTTGAAATTCGTTTAATCTATAAACTCTACACAAATCGACTGAATAAAAAACTCCCGGAAATGCACCTGTACTGTTGTCAAAAAAAGAGTTCTACATTATACTTTGATTCTTTTATCTGTGGTTGGTTAATCGACAACTTCCCAATCCTCCCAGACGACTGCTGTTGTCATTTCAAGCTTTACACAAAACAACATTGAATTGAAAAGAATGACAGACCTCAGCTTTAAATCTATAATTCTGCTTTACTATAGTAATCCTGCTTCATAACACAGTTGTAGTACTTAACTGTGACCAGCAGAGGGCGCTACAACACAACACAATCGTCACACATACAGGAGACCAAAGAGGTATGGTAAAACTTTATTCCCTCGGGAGGATAATGGCATACAAAAATAAAAAAAACCAACACTTTAAATAGTCATATAATAATAATAATAATAATAATAATAATAATAATAATAATAATAGTTTTCTGGATCACTGGGTTGCACCGTGTGTCCGTCAGGTAGCAGGTTTGAGTGGATTCAGTGCAAGGCCATAGTCATAGATTTTTAAAACAATATATTTTTTACACAACAAATAAGTATCAAAAACTACTCTGAAACTGTCTGATTTCACAATGTTTGAATCCCAAAGACGCTTGTTAAAGCTGGGGTACCTCACTTTTCCATAAATATCACAGTGGTGTGCAAAAGTCAGTCCCTAGACCTGAATATTATTGCGAATTTGTGGAGTGATTCGATCTTAAACGGACGGAAAACCGGATTGAACTAGAACTGCAAAGAAGAATGGTCCAAAATTCCTTTCACTAGAATCCAGCCTCATTTGGAAGTTACACACTGCAAAAAATGATAAATTATGAGGTAATAATAGCTTGAATTGAGTGGTTTTGATCTTAATTTAGTTTAGTTCTGACTGTGTTCCAACAAGATTCTCCAATGGGACAAAGGCACGTTCTTAACTGTTGCAAGGGAGACATTTGTTATATATTTTTTTAAACAAGACAATTTAGCTTCTTCTAAATTAGCACTGTTATAAGGCAGTCAGAATGTGCTCCAATGAAGAAGCATTTTTCCAATTTTTTGCCATTTTTTACTTATTTTTCATCACTTTTTGCAGTGTAGGAAGCGTTTAGAGGCTGTTGTTTTGGCAAAAGGAGAATGTAGGAAATATTGGTTGATTTTTCTTTTGTCGAATGCCTAAATGTTTGCACTAATTGCCGATTTTGGTTGAAATAATTCTCGCACACTTTCTATGAATGATACAAACTTGAAAAATATCATAAAAATGTCCACTTTTGCATTCCACTGTATGTTTTATAAATATTACTGTGTTATAGTATTTTAAACACGCTGCCTTTGTCTTTATAACATTATATCTTGTGCGCACTTAAGAAAGAGCCTCTTGAGTCACTATTTGACTCTTTGGGTATAGAATATTGTCCTCCTTTTAAACTTTTCTGTGTGATAGAACCAAGCTGTATCGGTTTAACTGGTGGCTGAGTGGTTAGCTGTCTCGCTCCTCAGCAAGAAGGCTCTGGGATGGAACAGGGGCTTTCTGAGTGGAGTTTGCATGTTCTCCCCGTGTCTGCGTAGGTTCCCTCCAGGTACTCCGGTTTCCCCTACCACTAAAAACACGTAGAATAGGTCTGTGCCTCCTGGACTGACCCCGCTCCCATCTCTGTGTGAAAGGCGCTATATAAATAAATATTACTTAGATTGTTGGGGTTTGATTTAGGTACCCCAGCTTTAATTTCCCATAAAGCCAATCATCTCTGTCAAGATTCAAGTCAGTTCCCTCTTTAGGTTTGATATGGAGGACGTTTTGAGCCCAATCTCCGTCGTTCCATTGTCGATTTTCTCTCACTGTTTGTTTGTGAGAGAACACACATTTCTGAGCCTGTATTTTAAAGAGCACTCTGCAAAAGTGAGGAAAAATAAGTCAAAAATTGCTCAAATTTGGGCAAAATCGTTGTTAAATTGAGCACAACTCGACTGCCTCAAAACAAGATTAACCGATGGGACAAAGCAAAGGGAGTTTTAAAAAGACAGAAATTATAACCTCATTTCATCATTTTTTGCAGAGTAGTTTATTCCATATTTTTCTTCCAAATCATCTACAATTAAAAACCCAGGACTGAGTTGTGGAATATGACGTTTAGCAGAGTTTACTTTAGTTGATGTGGCGGTCGGTGCCAAAAGCAGCATTTCAAGTCTGCTGAGTTTGTGTTGAATGAATGAGTCGGACCAGAGCGACACCGCGGCGTTTTCCAGAGGTCGTAAATCAGACGCCCCACACGCCGCCGTCACGCCGCCGTCACGCCGCCGTCACGCCACACGGCTGAAGTTACAACACACGCTTTACCATTTTTATTGGTACCTTTTTGTTTCAGAGTAATAGTACTTAGTAATAGTAATAGTACTGTTATGCTAAAGTCTGAGGTTTTGTACTAAGTTATTGTTCATTATCTTGTGTTTTGTGCTTCTCATTCGTACTGTTCTATAACCGTGTGATGCAACACTGACATTCCTAATTTCAATGGGAATAAGTGCCGTAAAGGCCAAAATACAATGCATATGATTGGTCCTTCTGACAGAGCGCCCCCTGCGGCTGATCTATGGCTATGGCCTTGTTCAAACAAGTGAGTCACGTTTTCAGGCTTGGATTAAATGAAATATGGCAATAAATAGACTTTGACCTACAACAAGAGTTAATGACAGAGCTTTCATATGAAGCCGTAATAAATAAATAACTTATCTGCAATAAATATATTTTACTTTGACACAGTAATACATGAAGATGCATGGCATCCATTTGGCTGAGTTCCTCTGAACAAAAGTCCTCCATAAGATTCTGAGATTCAGAAAATCCTGTCGAGTCCAGGATCGAGTCTTTAAACAAACATGAACTTTAGTCTTTTTCTCTTTGGTCCAAAATGTCTTCTTGATAATTTAACGTCATAATCTTCAGTTCGTACAAATAAAACCTACATCATTCTGAAAGACACAGCTCCGCGTGACGTCCGACGGATTCCACTTCTTTGGCTTCAGGTCTTCGCACCGAGGAAACGAAAACCCGTTCCTTCCAAATAACGAGCGATCGTCTGAAAACCCCCAAAGACTGAGGCTCAGTGCGATGTGGGCTCTGGGGGGGGGTCCAGGCCAGGGCTGCATTTCAGAAATGTGCAAAGTTGAAAACTTTCCATGGGATTTAATGGAAATTTAAGGGAATTAACAGGAAGTAACTGGGAATGCTCCTAAATTAAAGGTTGGCTCTTCATACTTCAACTTCATATGGTTGAGGAAAGTATAATTTAGCATAATCTAGACTGAAAAAATCAGATGTCCTTCACCAGACACTTGAAATTGGAAATATACCAGAAATGTTCAATCTCTTTGCAACCCTGGTCCAGACGGATCCTCCTGTGATCAGACTGAGTGCCCTGGGTCTGTCCTCTTCTCTGCTCCTCTCCTCCCCTCAGCCCCTCAGCCCCTCACCTCCACAGACCCTCAGCCCCTCAGCCCCTCACCTCCACAGACCCTCAGCCCCTCAGCCCATGCACATACAGCTAGCAGCGGAGAGTGAGTCGATGGTCTGCCAGGTGGTGTGTGCGTCCATGAAGCTCACGGACTCGTAGCGGTCCGGGCGGCAGCAGGGGTGGCTGCTAACTTTGCGCGCGGTCCGTCGAGGTAAAGACCCGTTTTGGAGCAGGGCCTTGAGCGCCAGGTCGTAAGTGGTCCTGGACGCCTGGCACGAGCCCACGCAGTACTTAAACAGAATGATCTCGTCGGAGTCGTAGCCCAGGCCCAGGTCCCGCACCTTCATCTGGCGCCGCTCCACGCGACAGTCTCTGCTGCTGTGCCTGGGCTTCCCCCTCCGCCGCCCGCCCCCCGTGTCCTCCTCCGCCTCGTACTCTTTCTTCCTCTTCCTGTTCCTCTTGGTCGAGGCTTTGGGCTGCGGCGCCGTGGGCTCAGAGGAGCGCGGGGAACGGCCCGTCCAGCGCAGACTGCGGTGGTCGTCCGTCTCGTCCACAACGTACGCATCTGCAACAGACACGAGTGAGTCTCATTCAGACGGAGAGAAGATACTGGACAAATCATCGCCTTTGTACGTGCAGCTATGTAATATGCAACTTAAGCTGACGTATCACCCTAGTCCTTCCTCACGCAAACACACTCAAATGAACTGATTCTAACCATAAGTTGTTCTTTGCAGATGCAGGAGGGTCTAAGGACATTTATGGACATTGGTCTCTGCCCCTTATGAACCAATGTCTCCACTGAATATGTTTTTTATAATTGCATTTCTTGTGTTGGCGGATTCAACGGTTTTGTAAAGTCCTCCGAGATAACTACTGTTGTGATTTAGGGCTATACAAAAATAACCAGAATTGATATGGATGTATTTTGTGGCCTGGGACAAAATAGGCGGCTCAGATTCACAAGGATCCCTTCTAGCTCCTAGCATGTGCGAAATGAAGCTTCAGCGTAACTTCAGACTGGTAGACTACTAATGCACGTCATCGCACCAGGCCGGCCCCTTCCTTCCTCAGCCAATCACATCAGCTTTGTCAACTCCCCGGCCCTCGCACACGCTCACATCCACCTCGCCCTGTTGCCACCAGTGTCTAGGCCCCGGGGGATCATAGTCTACACTCAAGCAAACGTCACAGAGAAAGGCCACAGCCAGGGTCTATGCGCCAAACTGATACACTACAAACAAACTTGCAATCAATACATCTAAAATAAATGCATCTTGTCTCTTGTAGTCTCTCCAGATTGATATAACTGTATATAAACAGAAGCAGTCAACGTGCCGACCGGGAGCTCTAGTGTCTTTGTGTGCGTTTGTGTGTTGCTACGACTGAACGTTTTCTGTAATCATCTGCACATCCCATCCACCCACTCGACTTGTAAAGTAAAAAAGTAACACAAAACCAGTGGGCTCCTTCTTTCTCCCATGTTCCATAACGACATTCCCGTTACAGTCCTGTTCCCAAACGGATCAAACACCGAAGGAGAGACTGATAAAAGCTTTCACCGAGAGTCTCCTGATACAGACTTTGTATCTGTGGATAACTCTGGAAACACACTGGACACACTCCCACAGAATACTTCCACGTTTATTAGGGCTTTATCTAAAACACAATGTGACGAAATATTTGTTTAAAATGAATACTTACGGACAAAAACATCTTGGTAAATATTAATTGAGTAAAACCAACTCAACTCAACTCAAAAATGATAATGCCCCCGAGGTGGAGCAGTAAAATATGGACCAAATATGGACAAATTATGGACCAAAATATTCGTACTCAAATTCCACATTTTCCAAACCGGACTAGTCCTGGTGTTATCAGTCTGAAGTTATGGCCTCTCTGTACGTCACAGAGGATTTTGAATAATTGCATATAATTTTAAATGAATGACTTACTAGTTGTGGGAAAAATTGTATTCTGTTCAGTATCGCGATATTTTACGGCCGCAATTAAATCAATACAGTAAAGCAAAGTATCGCGATATTTGGTTACATAATTATCTCTTTACTCTGGTAATTTACGTCTGAGGTTTCTGGTCCTCTAAGTAGCTGCTTGTTGTGACTCTAGTCTTCTGCATTTTCAATCATTTAAATATGTCTGTCTTGAGAGTAAGGACCACTGTGGCTGGTGTTCCCAGAGGTTAAGTGTCTTGCCAAGGACACAACAACAGCAGATATCAGTGGGAGTCGATGGTGAAGGTCGGGCTCGAACCCACGACCCTCTAGCTCAAAGGCCAATGCTCTACCAAGGATAAAGTTTTACAGAGCATAATAAATGACATTTGGGTTGAGTCTTATTTACCTTTGAAAAATATGGGGGACATGAATCGCAATATATCGCAGAATCGAATCACAAAACCCGCTGTATCGTGATATGTTAAGAATGGTAATATTATTGAATCATGGCCCAAATATTGCAATACTATTGAATCGTCACATTTTAGCCAATTCCCCCCCAATTAAGATAAGAGTTCCTTTATTCATCAACAGTGGGGAAATTTCAATGTTGCAGCGCACAGACCGGACAGTAGAGCACACAGGGAGCACACACAATATACAAAATAAGTAGTAGCTATGTTTCTAACTAGCATAACTAGCTGTAGATGCTAAAAATGCTCCAGACCCACTTTAGTTCTGGTCTGGAGTTCTCACCGTAGATGTTGTGCCACTCGGGGTCTGGGTGGTCTTCCTCTGGCTCCTCCTCCTCAGGGACCTCTGGCCGGGTGAGGGGGAAGCGTGTGTCTTCGGGCCCCTGCAGCAGACCCACCGTGGGGCCCCCCTGCAGTCCTTCACCGCCGCTGTGGACGTTAGCTCCGCCCACCGCCGGGAGCAGAGACAGCAGGAGCAACAGCAGCACCTGAGAACGGAGATGTGTTATGTTAAAGCCACTTTTTCGGCTTCTAACCATCTTCTCCCTCATTAAGAGCAGACCTGGAGTTGTTTTTAGATCCATCCACGAAAATATCAGACACTTCTGGCACAACTCAATTCTGTTCATTCTTGTTTAGCCTTAAATCACAGCAGTAGTTTTCTCGGAGGACTTTATACAACTGTTGAATTCGCAAAACATGTAGCTCCGCCCCCTTTGTCTAATAGTATGATGTCATTGTTCCACTATGACATCACACTCAGAACAGGTTTTAATGTTTCATACTTTACAATCAATTTAAATCGTTAGCAGCCGGTATTTTTTGAATTGGGAAAAAAATTAAAACAACAACATTTATGGAAATTGGGTTTTTTATCATTGACTTGAATCAACAACTTTGTAATGAACTCCGAGATGCTGGCTGAGAATAAATTAAATTGAATTGACTGACCTCAAACTGCAAATAATGAGAAAATACGAGGTAAAAACAGCTTGAATCCAGTGGTTTTTGTCTTAATCTGACACATTCTGACTTTAAGCATATCATATTTGACTTTCATGGCGTGACAACGGGACCTCTGAACCGGTCCTCTCCATCTACACCTGCGGACTGCCCTGCCCGACCCGCCTGGGAGCGCGTCAGTCCTGCACCGGACGTGGCATTGGTCCTCGTTCTGTAGCTTAGGTCCTGGATCTAAAGCCCGTCCGTTCGTGTGGAGTGGATCCCTTTCTCAATAGGTGGGTCTCCTCAAGGTTTCTCACACTTTTCCCACTGGGTTTTTGTGAGTTTTGCCGATGCAGGAGGGTCTGTTGGACAGTGAGCGTCCAACTAGAAGGACTGTGATGATCCAGGACACTTTAAAGGAATAGTTCACCGTTTTTACATACTGACATATGTTCTTACCTTACCTTAGACTAGTTAATACGTACCTGTGTGATCTTAGTCCGTGCGCTCTGTCATGCAAACGGAGCAAAAACGGGAGGACAAATGCAGCCTCCTCTGTATACTGTGTAGCACCAAAAGGTAGCTCCCGCTAGAAGCTACCAAACTCTTCCAAGTGTTCCCTATTAAATGTATATAGTTACGTGACGTGTTACACTGCAAAGTATAGTAACACAGAAATGTAACTGTCGATTTTCTCAGCGGATAAAACGGGTACTATATTGTGAGGCGTAGTAATCTGAGGTGCGCTACGTCCGCGCACTAACTTCTGTCCGGAGACTTCTCTCTCGCTCACTTCAGTCAATAGAAGCAGCGTGACTTGTAGTACAGAGAGAAGTTAGTGCGCGGACGTAGCGCTCCTCAGATTACTACGCCTCACAATATAGTACCCGTTTTATCCGCTGAGAAAATCGACAGTTACATTTCTGTGTTACTATACTTTGCAGTGTAACACGTCACGTAACTATATACATTTAATAGGGAACACTTGGAAGAGTTTGGTAGCTTCTAGCGGGAGCTACCTTTTGGTGCTACACAGTATACAGAGGAGGCTGCATTTGTCCTCCTGTTTTTGCTCCGTTTGCATGACGGAGCGCACGGACTAAGACCAGACAGGTACGTATTAACTAGTCTAAGGTAAGGTAAGAACATATGTCAGTATGTAAAAACGGTGAACTATTCCTTTAATGCCATGTCCACACGTAGCCGGGTATTTTAAAAACCTAATATTTCCCCCCCTCCGTGTATAAAATAATTTGCATCCAAACATAACCGAACATCTGCGTTTTCAGTCCTCTGACGTCCTGCGTTGGGGAAAAATACAGAAGTAGTAGTAGTCTTTAGTAATGTTTATTTATATACCGCCTTTTCACTACAGATTTGAGTCTCAAAGCGGTTTACAATTGTTAATTATGGGCATTTATCTCTCACTCCACACAGAGATGGGAGCAGGGCCAGTACAGGAGGCACATGCCAGAACTATTGGACATATTTTTAGTGGTAGGGGAAACCGGAGTACCCGGAGGAAACCTACGCAGACACGGGGAGAACATGCAAACTCCACTCAGAAAGGCCCTGGTCCGACCGGGATTCGAACCCAGGACCTTCTTGCTGAGAGGCGAGAGTGCTATCCACTCAGCCACCGTGCCGCCCAAGACAGAAGTGGGCGGAGCTTTGATGCAGACGCCGGTTCTTCTGTAGCAGCACTTTTACAGTCACAGTAGAAAGCTAGCTCCTGTGTTGGTTGTTTTCGAGCTTGAGGCAGTAAGATCCATGCTCCTTCAGTGATCAGAGGTCACATGTTGTGTTTGTAGTTGTTTTGGAGACAAACTGTAATGTGCGAAAATGCTAAACTCCGGTAATCTCTGTCTACACGCAAATGCATAAACAGTTTTCAATAACTCCACTTTTCCCGGAGGTTTTTTATATATTCGTTTACGGTGCGTTGTTATGTGGATGACAGGTGCAAACTAAGAAAAATATCCTAACATTCTACAACATGTATGACTTTTATCAACAGTCATAAACATCGGTCTCTCCCTATGGACCAATTCATATGTGTATATTTTGTTTCTTAAATGTTGATTCTCTGATCTGTGTTGGTGATGTCAATGGTTTTGTTAAGTCTCTGAGATGATACTGTTGTGATTTAGGGAACTACAAGAATAAATTGTTGTTGTTGTTCTTTTTCATGACTTTTTGCAGTGCAGTATCGGTACAATACCAACATATACTGTATCTTCCAGCCCTATACTATAGCCAACAATAATCTTAGAGAAACTATTATGTCTTAAACTTGACTGCAGAACATCTTGAATAGATCGTTTGGAACAAGCCTGGTCCATGTTCCTGCTGTTAAAATGTCAGAATTCCAAGATGTCTTCACTTGGACCCTTCAATCCCATTATTCTTTAAGGAAAATAAATGAAATGACACAAATACATTGGAGCTTGGGTAGCTTTTATAGACTGCGACTCAGATCCGCGGCAATAGTTCAGTTTTATCAACCCGAACAGAAACAGCCGATCTTTCTACGGTTCGTAAACTTTCTCTGAGGTCAAGCACTTCTGCAGAATTTACAAGCTTCATTTCATGCTTCATTCTGCCATTAAAAAGCAGCTCCTCCAGACTCGGCCGATATGATAAAACATTACAAAGTCAAAGTCCGGTGGCGAGATGGGCCAGAGTGGCGTCGGTTTCTGTTTGAGCCACTGAACCACGACCATCTCCAGGGTTTGGGCATTTCTCCTGCTCCTGCTGCCAGAAAACACAACGCTACAGCGCTCCCAAGGCCGAGGTACAACACCCAGCTGCCAAGAAGAGAGGAGCAAAGATCCACTTCACACTCGCGTAATCGCAGCAGCAGCAGCAGCAGCAGTCTCTCTCACTGGTTTCTCTCTCTGGTTTCTCTCTCTGGTTTCTCTCTCTGGTTTCTCTCTCTAGTCTCTCTCTCTGGTTTCTCTCTCTGGTCTCTATCTGGTCTCTCTCTGGTCTCTATCTGGCCTCTCTCTGGTCTCTCTCTGGTCTCTCTCTGGTCTCTCTCTCTGGTCTCTCTCTCTGGTCTCTATCTGGTCAATCTCTCTGGTCTCTCTCTCTCTCTCTGGTCCATTTCTAGTCTCTATCCGGTCCCTCTCTCTGGTCTCTCTCTGGTCTCTCTCAAGTCTCTCTCTCTGGTTTCTCTCTCTGGTCTCTATCTGGTCTCTCTCTGGTCTCTATCTGGTCTCTCTCTGGTCTCTCTCTGGTCTCTCTCTCTGGTCTCTCTATCCGGTCCCCCTCTGGTCTCTATCCGGTCCCTCTCTCTGGTCTCTCTCTGGTCTCTCTCAAGTCTCTCTCTCTGGTTTCTCTCTCTGGTCTCTATCTGGTCTCTCTCTGGTCTCTCTCTGGTCTCTATCTGGTCACTCTCTCTGGTCTCTCCCTCTGATCTCCCTCTCTGGTCTCTCTCTCTGGTCTCTCTCACTCTGGTCTTTGTCTGGTCTCTCTCTGTTTTCACTATCTGGTCTCCAGTCTCTATCTGGTCTCCCTCTCTGGTCTCTCTCTGGTCTCTCTCTCTGGTCTCTCTCTCTGGTCTCCCTCTGGTTTCTATGGTCTCTCTATGATGTCTCTCTGGTCTTCCCATCGCCCTCAGTTATGCTCCAGCCCCTCAGGGTCCTCTATAGTTGTATTTAACAGTGTATGCACGGCTTTTGACGGCTGCAGCAGCCCTCAGGCCTACAGCCAACACGTTTGATTTGTTCTGGACATTCTGGTTTCTGTCACAAGTCGCTCTCTCTGGTCTCTCTCTGATTTCTCTCTCTGGTCTCTCTCTCTCTGATCTCTATCTCTGATCTCTCTCTCATCTCTCTTTCTGGTCTCTCTCTCTCTGATCTCTCTCTTGTCTCTCTCTGGTGGACGTTGTTCATCCGCCCCCTAATGGCTCCTATGAGTGTAGGATATAATATACTAGTGTATATTATGTGTTCGAACGGTTTAATTTGCTTTCAAGGATATACTGTATTGGACCAAAGTGACTGCTGTTATGATTTTGTACTATCTGAAAATAAACTGAATATAATTGAAAAGGAATGGACATCACATCTTCTCCACACTCCGGCCTCAGAGGTTTTGGTCCTGAGATCACGTCTTGTGCTTCATCTTGATTACCGACACTGCAGCGATGCCTTCTCTTCTTGTTCCCTCACAAAAGCACCGCTCCGGAGCACTTAAAACACAGTTTGTAGAGGATAAGCAGCTCTGAATGCTCCTAACCTTGGCTTTGTCTCTGTCTGACATCACCGACGTGGCCTCCTGCCTGCCCCTGGTCCGAACCCTCCGGGACGCCCCACCTGCGGAAAAGAAAACAAGATTCATGTCGAGGCTCTCCACAAGGCTGCCCACTGTCCCCTCTGCTCTTCACAAAACTCCCATAGAAAGTCAGAAGATAAACTGGAACGGCAACGGTGAGGGTTGAGCTCGGACGCCACTGCCTTGTTACAGTAAAGGGATCAACAGATAGGGGCCACTTATACTTTACATTATGGCACGGCCTCACTGCAGTTCTGAGAGGACGTATGCTTGTGGCGGCATGTCGCCGCACATAGAATCAAAGGCTTTCTGTGGTTTTTGCACCAGGCGGTGAATCCAGCTGCGATATAGCAGCTCAGACTTGGTTACATATACGTGAGGCGCTGAGGTCATTTGGTGAGCGAAGGGGAAGCCCAGGAGGTCAGGGAGGACACGGAGTCAGGAATATAAGGCTAAAAATGCCAGAATGTTAGTTTCAGATAAGTCGGCTACTTTGGCTGGGAGAGTGATTGAGCCTGGAGATAGGGTTTAGTGTTTCATAAACGCATTTTGGTTTGCCAACTCACTGCCATAAATGTTGATGGGGTAATTTGTCTATTAAAAAAATTCAAATTTTGGATAGATGTATTCTTAATTTGGCAAGATTCAGTTCGTGATATTAGACTAAATGGCTTTGTATCATTGAAGAAATCTTGTTTTAAGGGGATATATTACATAATTAATCATTTTTGGCAGTGCAACAGAAAAAAGTCCAGTTTAACCCAATGGCACCCTCAGTTTTTTTCTTCTGATCCATCCCTTTTGACCTCAAAAATTGTAAAGGCTATCTTTATATTCACATCACATATGTCTTTTTGCTGGGGATCATTCTGGTCCTCAACTTAGAGTTTTAAATAAGTCCAGCTCAAAAAATACACACAAAAAAATGACTAAAATCGCACTATATGACAAAAAACTGAAATGACTCAACATGGGATTGACCACATAATTCAACGGTGTGATCGAGTCCTGGCAAAGAATAAAATGTCCATGATAACAAGAGAAGTAAGTGTATGCGTGTAAAGTGTGTGTGTGCGTGTGTGTGTAGGTCAATGTTATAGCTGGATATTGCCACAAAAGAGAGGACATTTAAACCAGTTGTGGTTTTGTTTGACTTTCTACAGTCTCTACAGCTCACACATGCGCAGCACCAACTTTTGTCAACTATTAAAAGTCTGAGAAAGTCACGTAAGCCTCCCCCGAGCCCTTTCAGGTGAGCGGAACCACGATTATACCAATGTAAGAAGTACATTTGATGCTAAAAACAGCCTCCGAGACGTCTTGTGTAAGCTGAACAGGTTGTCACCGAGTCTATGAAGCGTGAGGCTGTGCATACATAACCAGGAGAGTCTGTGTTCGCGGCTGATCGGCTCGGAGTATCTCCGCGGGCTATTTTTTAGATCTCACTGTTAAGTGGCCCTATGTTTATTAAAGAGTGTGGTGTGTGTACCGGTGTGTTTTTTGTGTGTGTGTGTGTGTGTGTGTGTGTGTGGTGGATGAGGAGCCAGGGGAAGAGAGAGAGGGCTCCCAATTTGGCAACGAAACAGAGTGAGGTGGCAAAGGGAGCGATGTTCACCCAAAGGCAACGCAGAGAAGAAGACGTTTTTCGGCGCTGATGTGTGAGGAGAGGAAGCAGATTGTTATGTTCGTATTAGCGAAAACAAATTTTTACTTTTCAACTGATATTTGAGAGTTTTTTTATCTGTCGAGACCAGAGTCGGGCTATGTCACTTTCACAACACTCTGAGGCAAACGTGTCAAGGCTTTTCTCCATTTTGACTTATTCTACTCAAACATTGTGGTGCTACATGCATGCAAAAGCCAGATCCCATCAGACCTTTGAAGCTAAGCAGAGCAGGGCCTGGTTAGTACTGTGATGGGAGACCTCTGGGACAACACCAGGTGCCACAGTGGGGCGGCTGCGGCTGGATATTTGACCCACATTAGAACGAGTCTGGTGTGTGTGTGTGTGTGTGTGTGTGTGTGTGGTTGGAGGGGCAGATGGCACACACTTGCTTGCCCCAGGGCAGCTGTGGCTATACTGTACTAGCTTATCACCACCGTGTTTGAAGTGAATGAGTAATGAAATGTGAAAAGTTTGTGAGTGTCCAAAAAAGTGCTGTATAAAACCCATTCATTATTATTGATTTTCATGCCAGATTTTCTAAATAACTATCATTCTCTACTCAAATATTTGGTATTTATTAAAGAGATGAATCAACCTGATGTATTGGGAGTATGATCTGGATCCAGTATCAAAGCAAATTCCAAAATCTTAAGCTGATTTTCTCTATACGTCTAGGTTTCGCTGTTTTCCCATCAAAACTATAATTCTGATCATTTCAAATATTTTAGTCGACACTATTGACTAAACGGCTAAAGAAGACAGCTCTACAGGCAACACCTCCATATTTGGGCTTAAGGAATTCTCTAATTTTCACCAACACACTGTAGGATGTCATGAAGATTACTCTACTTTGATTATGCTTTAATATTCAGGCCTCAGTAGAAAAACTTTTGACATTTATGGCAAATATATGGCATTAACCCTTTTGGTTTTCCATGAAGCTGTAAGACACAAACTCATGTGACTAAACTACAAAAATCACTTCAACAATCATGAAGCGTCAACACAGAACTCATTATTCTCAAATCCTCGTCGAACAGAAGCGGGAGAGGGGGAACGTGAGGACACATTTGGAATAATCCGAAGCGGTAGAAACCTTAAACCTGGGCCTTTCTCCTTCGCCTTCGCCTCCCGTGGGATCTCTGTCCGTCTCTCTGCCGTCGCAGCTGGGAGCGTTTAGGACCGCTGTCGGTGGTTCACTACACCCAGTGCTTGGAAGCCAAGCCGTTTACTTGCTCGCGCCTGCGGGATGGTGGGGGGTGAGTGGGGGGTGGGGGTGAGGGGGTGTGAGGTGGGGCCGTGCAGATGGAGCACGGACGCTGTAATGTAAACGCAGATACAGAGCTACTGTACGGGCGAACAAACACACACCGCAAGATTTTTTCCAATTTAAAGTACAGACACAGACGCGGGGAGAACATGCAAACTCCACATAGAAAGGCCCTGGAGGTGGAATTGAACCAAGGAACTTTCAATGTTTCTAAATTATACGCATTTCAAAAGTAACTGACCTCTACTCGTTTCTGAAACTACTAGAACTCCCAGAGAAATAGTAACTGGCAAAAACTAGCACTAGCACTGGATTTTCAGTCCTGAACCAGTCCAAGACCAGTCCAGGACCAGCATCTTGAGAGAAGGCGTTTTTAACTGCCCCAACCCTTATCTCCAAGACCATTTCACATAAATAATGACAACAACAAACAGAAATAGAAAAAGGCTTAAAGTTATGAAGAGCACTAATCACATTTCCAAAACTAAAAACCGTCAATTTGACTGTTGACTCTAATCTAGTGTTAAATACCGGGTCTGCATCAAGTCTGAAACGTACAGATAAACACATCGTGTGAGGAAATGCACGGACTACGGCTGCACGATATCGGAAATTAGAGCAAGAGTCGATATGAGTGTTTAGTATTTCAATAATTATTAATTATTGGAATATCTTTGTCTATCACCAAAAATTACACTCTGCACTGAAACGCAAGAGACAAAAAACATAAAAAAGCACAACATTAATGACATTCAAATGCATATATTAATATTTCTTTGGGGTTTTCTTTTTGTTCTTGTTGAATGTTGATGTGTCTGTCTGTTTTGTTGTCTTCAATAAAGAAAAAAAATTATCAAAATAAAAATTATCAAAATAAAAATTATCGCGCATCTTATTGATACGGATATCGCATGTACCAATATCGCGATAATGATATTTTTTCGATATATCGTGCAGCCCCCAGCACGGACCATTCACCTTGAAGAAAGCAGTATTTTTTTTTTTAACACATGCTTTTTCTATGAAGAGCCTTGAGACTTGAGATGCAGTTTGACGGTAAAAGTGGCAAAAACCAAGTGATGGAGATTTCTGTTCCAGGTTCGTCATAACATAATTGAACTTATTACGATCAATATCTACTTTCTGATTGTAACCAGAACCTGCAGCGATAACGTGTGTCTGAATTCAAATGATAAAAGTAACTGCGATCGTAACCCCCCCTCTCTCTCCTCTACGCCTCTGTCGGATGAAATGCAAATGTATTCTTTTCTACAGTGCGGTGTTGTGGCGTCTGGCTTGTGTTGTGTGATTAAAGGCGGGAGTTTGTGCATCAGGCTTACGGTCTGTCACCTCACATTTCCACACTGCGCTCTCTCTCTCTCTCTGCGCTGCTCTGGGACGTCCCGTACAGCTGCCCGCGGCTCACAGCGGCTGTCCAGAGCTGTTAGCTTAATGCTACGCAGAGAACAGGAGCAAAGAGAGATGTTTGTGGAGGGAACGGTGCACTGAGCGTCTGGGAAGAGTCTGCATCACGGTAATGTCCCCGGGTTTGACGGGATCCACTGTGGGAACTATAGGGCTAAGTTAAAGAATAAAATGTCTAAATAGTAATACATACAATTAGTAAAATGAATTAATTATTTGCAACAACAAGAAAAGTATAATAATAATATTGCGGTTCTTTACTGCGCTTTTTTGGACACTCAAAGACGCTTCAAATGTCATTATTCTTTGCCTCCATACACAGTGGTGATTACTTACTATTGTAGCCACAGCTGCCCTGGGGCACACTGACAGAAGCGAGGCAACCAGTCTGTGCCATCAGCCCCTCCCACCACCACCAACCATTCACACACACACCAGACTCATTCTAATGTGGGGGAAGTGTCTTGCTTAAGCACACAACAGCAGGTTGGCACTTTACAGCTGCAACCACCCCACTGTGGCAGAGAGGTGTTCCCAGAGGTCTCCCATCACAGTTCTAACCAGGCCTTGCCCTGCGTAGCTTCAAAGGTCTGACAGTATTTGGCTTTTACCTGCAGGTGTGGCTCCAAAAAATCATACATACTGTAAATCACAGCAGCTGTCGTCACAAAGGCCTTTATGAAGTCGTCGATTCACCAACAACAG